TCTGTTCCGTCTAATCATAATTTAGGATGGGGCTGTAATTACCTCCGCCCTCGCACAACAACACTCTGTCTAAACAGGATGGAGCAGGCTGCCACAGAGACTCAAAGCCCAGTGTCCGCTCTGAATGCTATCTGTACGACAGCGCTCACTTCATCTACCTAATTGTTTTTAAAGTTTTCGCTTTCACTGATGAGCCACGGTCAAAGTTTATCCTATTTCTTCTGGAAGGCACTAAATCAAATATGAATTTTGAGCCATTTGAGCATTTATCATCTTTAAGATTAATATAATTCTAAATTTCAAACAAAAAGCAGATATGTTTTATTTTATATTATTTAAAAAATAATGTTTTGAAGAGTCAAAATGTCAAGTTGCCAAATTTTCCATAAACAACTAAATGAGTCAACATCATAAGCCTCCCGTAAACTAAACGCTGCCATGCCTTGTTAACATCTATAGAAATTGCACACTAGCTTGGCGGTTATTCCACACACTGTAAGCTACATCACTTCACATGGCATTCGTGTGCAACAAAGACTTTGAATTTGTTTTTTATGAATTGGTCGAGGATCCAACGTGAGCTGTGGGTTTAATTAACAGACCTAATGCACAACTGCAAACAGGGCTCTCAACACAAACACACAGCACAGCTGCCTCAAACGGTGCTCTTAGGGGAGCCATATGGAAGCAACATCAGTTTGGATGATGGCTTTTTATCTCAAATAAACTACAGACTGCTAATTGGTCAAATAGGCCAGACTGACACTGCTGCTGTTTGACTTAATTTGTTTTAGTTATCCTTATAGTTTGTTTTAACGATAGCAATCATCATTACTACATTACATGTTACTCCAATTTATCCATCATGTCCAGGAACCACTCCAACAACTTTATAACTTCCAAACACCTCAACAGCATCGCTTTTTTTTTTTTTAAGACCTGTGGGCTCGTGCTCACATTTGAACCTAAAGGGGCCTACCTTGCACGGGTGGTGGGAAAGAGAGGCACGAGCGCGGAGCTTTGGCTGCCAGGTGCGCTTTTTCCTCGGACGCGCAGAGCGTCTTCGGGCTGGCGCAGCTCATGTGAGTCGGGGTGTCATGGGAGCTCCGGCAAATCTGCGATCCGAAACCAGCGCTCCCGGCGGCTCGCCGCGTGCAGATGTCCGCCTTGCTGCCGTACACGGAGAGCGACAAGCCGGTGAAGTCTGTGAACGTCGGGCTCTGACAGTGGCTGACCATCCCGAACAGCGCTGAGGGGTTCTGCATTGATGACTCGGCTTTTCCCATGCAGTGTGTGGTCGCTTCTCACATTACCTGCGCATAAAAAAATAACCAAATCACTGCAAACTGCATCAACGCGAGGACTATTTTTTTCCCGTGCAGCCATACATTCATTTGAACAGGAAGAATGGAAACATTGGAGAATAACTATTTAACTTCAGGGCTTTGGTAACACCTACCTTATTCAATTACCCAGTGAGGCACAGAAAGGGTCTAATAGCGCACACCGGCATGTTTATCGAACTGAAGGAGAGAGCATCTGCAAGCCTGATCGATAGCATCCTCTCAGTGAGGATCAGTCATCAGCATCCCATGCGTGTCTCTCTCCCCCCCCCTCTCTCTCTCTGATTGGCACTCGACCAGGCAGGGTCCAGGAGCACCAATGAAGACTGTGTCCGTGTTCTCTGTGGGAGGATAAGATCTAGATCGAGACAGCTGTTTGCAGTTCTGAGCTTGGATGTGAGGTTGGCGAGCCACTGCGTGCTCGATGTGATACTTGACATTTAGCATTTAAAAGCTCGATGGTAAACCATGCGGAAACAAGCCATTCAACAACGGTTTGCTTTGGCGTAGGTGGGCTACGTCCACGCTACGTGATCATACTGATCGAATCATATCAGCCATTGATCTGCTTCGTTTCACAACATGCAGGGACCCAATACATTGACATTGAATGAAATATATTTGAATGCAGCATATAACGCGCATCACGCGTCTTTCTAAACTTGTATAAGTGATTTTTAGGCACGTGTAGCACTCTGCAGCTGTAATTATTCCAGTCCGTTTAAGGTGACATAGACTTAGGCTACTTGAGATCTCAATTCTCATACAGCAGAGAATTTGGATATAATTGTGTTGATATATTTACAAACATTCCTCCTCAAAAAACGTGAATAAAAATGTGAAAATCTTCACACATTGAAGTATTTTCTTCAGCATCTGCTATTTGTTGAGGCTGTCTATATTCATTAGACTGCATTCTTTTTGAGTTATTATTTGAGTCATGGTTCATTACTTCTGACTGCAAAAAAAAAAACTACTGATCATAACGATCAACGATTTAAAATGAGACTTAATTAAAATAAATAATGATCTGCCAAGTCTTACCAACGTTCATAATTACGCGTTAAAGTGTCCTTTCCTGTGTTAAACCCTTGTGTCGAAAGAGCTGGTGTTTATCTGCTGTATTAATGTGGGAAATGCTATTCTGCAGCGCCACTTAGTGGCCTTTCTGTGGAAGGTATAAATCCCAACTCGGGTCAGAGTTGACACTGGCAGCAACAACATAAACGGTTATTACTGTGCAAAAACAAAAAAGGCGGGTGAAACAAACTGTCAAGTGAAAGTTTAAAAACTGTTCTGTAAGAGGTGTGTTCCCTCAGTGCAATGTGAGGTCTGGGCTGTTAAAGATGGGAATTACTGGATCTGATGGTGCCTTTGCATGCTATTGCAAATTTGGATCCACGTGGATGAACATGGACGACCAGAGAGATATGCGCTCGCAGGATAAGAAGAGAAACAGAAGTTATATCTATTGATGGTTTACGCAGTGGACATTTACCAGCTGAGACAGGGACACTGGTATTGTTTTCACTTTGAGTCTGTGTGTGTGTGTGTGTGTGTGTGTGTGTGCCATTATGGCAGAATGTTGCCCTAAAGAAAACTACTGTAGAAGGAACAACCAAAGTAGCAGTTTTGAATACTTCTCCTGGTGTTTACATGTCTGTCTGTGGACAGATTTTGTCACCGCGATAGTGTTGCAACCGTGCTGGATGCAGTCAGAAAACTTCACAAATGTTACTTTAGAACAAAACCAAGGCAGAGGTCTAAGATGGATGGCTCAGCTCATTATTTTAACTCGTTTTCATTCTGCTGTTAAAATACTTCTGACCAAAAATGTTTTCTAAAACAATATGCCAAAATCTGACTCTGGTCAAATTTGAACTGGGGACTCATATAAACTCTGACATCAACTATAACTTTTGTGTTGTTGCATCTTACCACCTGGTGGGTGTAACTGAGCATATGAACACAGCCACCAATCAAGAACAAGTGATGGTGAACTGATGTAAAAAGATAGATCAAGTAAAACAATGCCTGCATGGAATACAAGAAGCAGGGTGTTGTTGAACAGGCATTGTATTTGTTTGGAAAATCTCGAGATATAAACATGATCACTGCCACAAACCGGCCGGTAGTTTTAGCAAGTAAAGCCTTTTCCATCAGCCTCCACACACCGTTACAAGCTATAGACTTCTGTTTAGGGTAGTTTGACTTGTTTTGTCTTTCACAAAGAAATGTTTTGAATCCACATCTTTAACTTTCAAGTCGTGTGCCTGATGTGTGTTTTTCGTTCCTTTAAAATGTCCTGCATGTTACTTGAACTGTTGGGATGTATTTCTTTTATACTACCTATCTGGATGGAAGAAACTTGGGACAATTTAAGGAATATGGACAGATTGGGGGCCTTGGACCACTATGGATCCTCCTATTCTCCCAGTCTGCGCAATAGAGTCCACAAATACCAATCAAGTACAGTACACATATTTTAATACACATATGGTAATGATATGAACCAATGGCAGCCTGGGGCAGTTATCTGCTAGCAAGAAAAGGAAGTGGGTAAAGTGAAGGAGTGAGGGATATAAAGTTAATCATTTATTACAGCCGTTTTTTATAGTCTGTGTCCTTACAGATTAAGTGGTACTGCGATAAACCATTTAAAAATGTTTGCCAAATTCACTCTTTTCCTTTATTTTGGAAGATAACGTTACATGATGAATGTGTGAACCAAGTGAGTTTCATGGTCTAGAATAGATGACCTGAGGGTCACTGGCTTTTATTTTTCTGAAAATAAAAATGATTCAGCAAGCAAGACACATCTTTCACTGGGAATGACCACGGTGACGCAAGTGTGCCAGACCTAAATCACAAAATGTTTTGACATTTCTACATTCAAATTCGCATAATTAATCACTAGTAGTGGGATACATGTGGCAGATTTAGAGTACAGAAACGTTAACCTAATGCACTAGAAAGCAGCAGCCAAACATATTTCAGATGCTTGTGGACCATTGACATTAAAATACACTTACATTCACCATGTGTCCAGTGTCACCTCGCGTTAAATGTGTATTTAAATGACATAGGTAAACAGTGGTTAAGCTAACATGTTAGCTCGATAGCTAACACACTCGTGCCACATGTGCTCACACTCTGCTAGCTTCAGTGTGGGGCATAGTTTAGGGTAAAGTCTCATAGCTAAGCTAGAAGTGCATGTTCATGTTTGTTTTTACAGTATCTCTGTCTCTGCTTGTGAATATCTCCTGTAACCTCGAATTATTACAACAGTTAATGCTAGCTAGTATTTTAGCTAGTAAGTAGGCTCCTCTGACTTTGTTTGTGTAGGAAACCCTAGCTATTGTTTGCCACGGGACTTTTAATGGGGCACGTTACTTCTCTTCTTCTGACAAAGCGTCCTAAAGGGAGATGTTTTGAAGTAGCGTCGTTTCCAAGAGTGCTGGGATTTGTTGTAAGACTGAAACGTTATCTTCTTTCCGGATAACAAAGGATCCGTTGTGTTTTAAGTGCTCCAAAAGTATTCGCCACCTGCGATCTAGAAAATCCGAGCTCTCGACGAGGCCTTCAAGGCAGCTGTTGTGACACGTGAGCCTAGTGGGCGGTGACCGACGTGTTTGACTATCAGATGTCAGTTTCTGCAGGAGACACTGTGGAAACAGGAGTTCACCACAAAGGAAGCAAGCATGTCTTTGCACAGACTGATGGTGTATTTGTCGACAGCATCCTTGTTTTGCTTCATGATAGGACTCAATGCCGCACTCTTTGTTCTGCGTTTTATTTCACCAAGTCTCACCAAGAAGATCATTCTCAAAATGGGTGAAAAGACCACGATGACCCAGAATCCCAACTTCAAGTATGAAGATTGGGGTCTGACATTTGCATCTGTTGATTTCGTGAAAGCCGCCAGCAGCCACCTGTGGATGTCTCTCGGACAAGATGCCTTTGTGGGGGGAGAAGCTCCTGACACATCTGTGGTCAGCATGGAGGGAAAGAAAACAAGTATCTGCAAGTACTTGAAAGGTGCGTGACAAGATGTAGGCTTTTGCGTATTGATCAGGTTGTATCCCTCTCTCTGCTCCCAAATCTAAAGCTGTGTTTCCTTTACTGCAGACAACAGAGCGCTGGTGTTGAGTTTTGGAAGCTGCACCTGACCCCCGTTCATCTTCAAACTTGACGAGTTCAAGCAACTCGTCAGGGATTTCAGCGACGTGGCTGACTTTCTTGTAGTCTACATCGCCGAGGCGCATTCAACAGGTGAGTAAAAGTAGCCCAGTGTGCCAGGTGAAGGTGTCAGTATCTCAGTGTGCCAGGTGAAGGTGTCAGTATCGCTTAGACTTATTTGTAGAAACTATGCATCCAAAATCTGTAAGGGGAAATTATGCAAAGTTGTATATATCAGCACTTTCCTGAGAGACTTGAAAGTGAACATTTAAAGTTTTAAAGATGAATGTGTGCCTTGAAAGTTCCTGATTTTCCTTACACTTGAAAGTACAGAATAATCTAATAATCAATGGCCCCTTAGAATTACTTATCCTCATGGAATAATCCCTGCAGTGGAGGATTTCTAAACGCAGCAATTTAAGATTTTAATTTCTAAATGATCACTTGATTCAATTTTCAGATTATACTTGAAAAGCTTTTGGTTACGTCATCACATTTAATATTGTAGCAAAATAGTCAAATGTTGAGTCATGGGCTCTTGTGCATAGAAATGGGGCGGTAACCACAATCTGGGCTACGTTCCCCTTAATAACACTGCGATAAACTCTTGATGCTGTAATCCAACATCTGTAAAATGTATTATGTGTTCCACAACTTTTGATGTCCCGCTGCGTTCAGCGTCCATTTCCAGTAAAAATCCTGTTATTTATTTCTGTGTCAGATGGTTGGGCCTTCACCAACAACATTGACATCAACCAGCACCAGAACCTGGAGGACAGGCTGTCTGCAGCACAGATCCTGGCTCAGAAGGAGCCCCTGTGTCCGGTGGTTGTTGACGACATGAGTGACGTGTCTGCCATAAAGTACGGCGCTCTGCCCGAGAGGCTTTACGTGCTGCAAGCTGGGAAAGTTGTCTACAAGGTGAGATCCGTGCGCCACTGACACTTAAGTCAAATTCAAGCGACCGTGATTGAAGGGTTAACGGTAAACATTTCTGTCACATCCCACGCGTTAATGCAATGAATCGCGTGATTGAAAGCAGTACCAGCATTGTGTGTGTGTGTGTGTAGAGTTCCATGACGCTATCTGCAGTCACGCTATCGCATGAGAAGGAGCAGTGAAAGATTCAGACACAACACTAAAATTCTTGGCATGGAGCCAGGCCCGTGTTAGCGATGCCAGAAATGTAGAGTTACAAGGTATTAAAAAGGCACCGACGTGTCTCTGGTGTCTTCTGTGTGCATGTTCTTTGTCATTGTTAATGAAAGTGGTAACTAAATGGTGTTATTTTGTCATTAACATTCCTCTCTCTCTCGGTGTTCTCTAGGGGAGCGTGGGGCCTTGGGGTTACGATCCAATGGAGGTGCGTTCGTTCCTGGAGAAGATGAAATAAGAAGGTTGTTCAAGTATTTGCCATCCGATTAGTCTGTCCACATCATAGTCAACATATATTCTCATATCAACCAATACCATATTGTTTTAAATCAAGGTTCAAATCAATTAACTGCTTAATCTACATGTAGTTTAATATCTGCTCTTTGGGGAGGGGGGGGGGGCATCGTGCTCCTACAGTCAATCTCTGAGCTTGAACTCGCCTCTCTGTGTTTCTTAGTGACGGCTGCAGATTAAACCGTTGGCCTCTGTAGCCAGATGAAGTGAAACGGAGAGAGACGGTCTGGTTCAAGAGTTTGTGTTTGAGACGTCGCATAATGTACAGGAGATGTCCCCTAAATTGTCTTAAAGTTTAAAAGGCCGTAAGATTTGAAGTCAATGAAAGCACTCGTTTGCCACTTCTCTCGCAGGTTCATTTATCATCAACTCTATCATTAGCATTGTAAACTGTATTAATTACTAAGCGCTTCTATTGTCAGTGAATGCTCCGAGGTAATTTCACAGGAGGGTGTTTTTTTTTTATATATGATGGTTACAGTGCAAACCTCTGGTAACTGTAACCTGATGGATTACTTGAAAAACAGCCTTCCCTGGTTTATGTAGGAGCATTCATGATGACATGTAACATTTGCATGATAGTACAATAAAGAACAAGCTGGGAAGAAGACTCCTGCATCAACTCCTCCATTCATACGCGACATGATTTGAATTGTGTTTCCGTGACCCTTCCTCCACTGCCGACATAGCTGGATGGAAATAAACTGGCTAAAGTTAAATCATTATTCAAATGAAAAGCAGCAGCCATTGTTTGAAACATCCATCATCGCTTCTTTGAGCTGCTGACTCATCCAATAAGATGGGCTGCAAATCTCCACAGGTGTTTTTATTTTTACATCATGTTTCTGTGGGGAAAATGGCCGAGGGCTTAAATGTTGACGCACACAGCAGTGTGACACCACACGGCAAGCTGGCTGTTGTTGACTCTCTTGTCTGGAAATGGTAAACGTCCTGCACTGTATGTGGGTCATGCCAAGTTCAACAAGTGTGCACACACCGCGAGTTGTGATGTGTGGCATTCAGGCCCTGATGTGAGTTAATACCTAACCGTCTAGTCTTTGCAAATCTATCGATTTTGGCTCCCAGCAGGTCTAGTCTCACTACAAAACTTACTGCCTCTCTTGCTTTAATTCTTCAATAGTGTTGTATAACACGAAGCAAACAGTAGTGCATTGCCTTTCAAGGTCTAGGTTTTACTCATGTCTTTTAGGGGTGAAAGAGGAACTATTGTTAATAATAGAAAATAATGATTTACCTCAAGGTAAGAATGATTAAACTCCCAACATATATCATATCATTATAAATTGTTGAATTGGCTTTCCTCGTCTTTATGGCTTTTGCCTCCACACAAATATTAAATTAAGAACCCACTCATGTACAGTATTTGGGTAGATTTTTATATATATTTTTAAATGCACACAATAAAAAGAGCTGCATCAGTGGTGATTTGTGCCCTGTTTTGTCTGATTAGTGTAAAAGTGATTGGAAAAGTAAACCCTGTTAAAAAAAAGAGAATATATAAATCACAAAAGACCAAGTGACAAAACGAACCACAGGATCATAGCTCGGGTTACAAAGCTACTACGTTTTGTTTTTTTGTCGCTACAGCTTTCACAACCTTAACTGCGTGGATCTAAAGTTGGATAACAGGTTTGGCTCCTGCCCAGCCAGGCCACATCCTGTGGAGAGCAGGCGGCAGCAGCTCAGCTTCCTTTTGTTAGACAGGAACCACAACGCTGTCAGATCCTCCCAACCATGGACTTTTGTTAGAATCCACGTGTGAATCTTTAAGTAAAACCAAAGCCAGTGCATACAGTGTATTTAGCTGCTTTTCGGGAGAGAAAATGTTGTTGAAGCTCAGAGGTCTCTGTAAAGATGGTGGGTCCTCTGAAGCCCACCAGAGGGCAATGTGAAGCCGTTTGTTACTCTGACAGGAGAGCAGCAGACACAAAAAACACAAGGTTGTTTTTCTTGTTGGCTCCCAGGCATTGTTGTGACCCATGTGGCTAAATTTGTTGGTCCACAAAAAAATAGTATTAATTAAAGTATTAGCTTCCTTTAATGTAATAATCTAAATAATCTTTGGTTTAAGCTGAAACTTGAGTCTGGACATTTACTGTTCGTACCACCTTTACTGCTGATTTGTGATGCCTTGATTGAGATATTATTATCATGACCAACCAACTTTTACAAAGAGGCAACGGATGCATCATCTAAGAAAAGTGAAGGAGCTTTCATAGTACAGGGAAGCTTTTTTTAAAAAGGGGTTTATAGATGCCAAGTGCTGCAAGAAGGGCCTATTTCTACCTTAAGAAAAACCCAAACCACAGACGAAAAGGCAGCAAAAGAGAACAAGTTCCAAGGAACACACAAATATTCACAATAGATCATGGAGTTTCCTTCGACTCAGGGAACACACATACATATATTGTGATTATAACTCAAGGTTCAGCTGTATCCCACGGCCTTCTCCAGCAGGTGGAGATGAATAGATCTTGACTGAACAAAACACAGACAGCTTCGACATGAATCTCCCTGAAGATCCACTGTGACCGTTCACATTTGGATTACTTGGACTGGATAGTGAGACACAACCTGGCAACCCACTCAGCCAGGGCTGCTATGGCTATGTGTTAAGTGGGTTGTTGGGTGACTCACCACTCACACTTGTGCCTGGACTGCCCACCAGGTGGAAATGATGTAAAGGTAAGATTTCTCATAGTGGTATTGAGCTCCTTTTAACCCTTTTACAGCCGTAAGCAGTCTGTATTTTTAGATATAAATTCTTATTACACTAACTCTGTTTGACTTACTGAGGGATAAACCCCTTTCCTCACTGAGACGCCAGGGGCAAGAACATCTGGTTGAGTATGTTAAAATTAATGACAGGAAGTTAAAAGGCCAGCTTACCTAAAAAAAAACCTCCATGTGGCTCTGTCCTGTACCGTGAAGGAGCCTGACTCAACCCGACCCCAGTCTTAACCCTTTGATGTGATGCCATGCGTGCAGCCAAACACTTATTTTTTTATATATATATATATAAAAAAACGGTGTCCATGAGGTGAACCTGTGCCATCTTTTACAAGCACTTGTTTTCCAGTTAAGTTTACCATCAGCATTGAAAACTGTATTAATTAATAAGAGTTTCTATTGTCTATGAATGCTCCAAGGTTTCACAATTTAACAGCATTACAGTGGAAACCTCGTAACTGTAATTTGATTAAAATGACCTAGACAGCCTTTTTTGGGATTATGTAGCAGCATTTATTGTTTGTTTAAACTAATTTGCTCATTTTTATTATCGTCTATTTGCCCTTGTTGAAATGTGTAACCGGCTTTGAGCTCTCCTTTCCTGTATAAAAAGTGCTCATTAAATGAAGCGTACTATTACTCAACTGAAACACTGCGTCCCTCTTCTCCTGTCTCACGTCACCAGCAGCTCAGCCCGGCCTGCACAGCGTTTCCCTCACTCCAGGATTTCCTCCTGTTGGTCTGGTTGCTGCAGACTACAGCAAATATTGAATTGAGAGTTTCCTCTTGGGGGGGATTAAATGATTCGAATGACACAATCGGAGACGTTTACAGGGGAATGGAACGGTGGAACTCATCACAACAGACATCCAATACCTGTGATAAGGGCTCCACTGCAGCCACAAACAACCTGCATGCTACAGGCTGCAGTGTGGTGTTACTGCAGCAGCAACAGTCAAAGGAGAAGAGATGTGAATGTAATGTCAGCTGCTGGCTGTTGGACAATTATGCTTATGTATGTATATACATATGTATATGTACATATCTGTATTTTCCCCACACAGTGAGCTATCCCTCCGGTGTCTATATAACTTTTTATGCATCATTTGAATGCTTTGTGTATGTGTAACTTAAGCATTGATTAAACATTACCCATCATGTCCACAGCTTCAGTAGCATATTCTTGTTACTCCTAAAATCTGACGCGATATGAATCTACATTCAGGCACAATATAACAAAAAACAACCAACACATGTAGTTAAGTTATTGTAAAATTATATTAACAAGCAATCTTTCCTCAATTTGAAATAAAAAAATATCAGCAAATAAAGGCAACATAGGACAGATGTATATAATGCGTAATGTTCACAGGAAAAAAAAAAAAAATAAAACTTCTCATCACATTTACAAGACTGCTGCTAAGTTTATAATGATGCCTACTAGAATGGGTTTAGAAAGCTTTGACTAGCTGAATAACTGGGGCAATATATGTAGTCAAAGATCGTATCAAAATATAAAAAAAAAAAAAAAGAAAGAAATGTGTGGGCGGGCGAGAAGGGGCCGGGGCAAGGGGACGACCAATACGTATGAGAGATTAAAATGGGGCTCGCTCATTCATAGCCATCTCATCATAAATCAACCATAACTGGAGAGAACACGGAAGGCTACGACGAGGGAGAGCACAGAGTGTTAAGCACAGAGAGGTAAAGAGATATACACCACATCTTAAAGCAGGTGTCCACGTAGAGAAGAGCAGCACTAGGTAGTATGTTGTACACAGATTCTCAGCATTCATGCACTCACTTCTTATGCCCAGGTCTGGCTTCCCTCGAACAGAACGCGACAGCGATCCAGCCGTTTAAATTAAAAAAAAAAAAAAAAAAAAAAAAGCCCCGGAGACCGGAACTGATCGAACGGGATCAATGTGACATTGCAAGAAGCATCTGAGCACTTACATACCGTGGAAAGTCGTAATCTTTCAAGTCTCTCCCCCTATACGAACCTCTTTAAATAGAAGGGTGGGCACTGGGTAGGATAGTACGTTATTCATAAAACGCAAATTCTTGAGTCCTATGTCAAACTGTGACACAGTACGCATGGCGAGAAGTAAAAGGACGAGACAAAGACATTTCCAAGCTCACACTGCATATGCACACTCTCCAGTGTTTTAAGGGACGAAAGCGGAGACATTTCCTGCACCACAAAGCAATAATTAAAAAGTACAAGAGGTAAACTTTCAACCATTTTTTCTCTCTCTCTGCGCTCTAGGGTTGAGTGGGTTATGGGGGGGGCTCTGCAAAGAACGTAAAACGTGTCATGTATGCACTTCAGTAGCTGGTTTTGTCACACTTGGGGGTCGTGATAAATGGGAGAAATTGTCCTTCATGTTGAGCAAGGAGCAGTAGTCGCCAGCCATTTTGGATTTTTCTCTCTCTCTCTCCGATCAGCATTCTGGCGTTAAGCGTGGAACCAAAATGGCGCCCGTCCCTGATTCGGTGCTGATGTGTTTGGCCGTGTCCTATCGTGAGTTCAGATCCTCGGAATGATGGCAAATAATGTTGGGTGGGGCGGAGGGGAGGTCACACACTCATGGTCATGGTTGGAGAGTACTGTGGAGGCACAGGTAGAAGAAGAGAGGATTAAAACACACACACACACACACACACACACACACACACTTTCCCTCCCAAGCTCTCCTTGGTCAGACGCCCGGCCAGCTCTTCACGCTGCTACTGTAGTCAGTGATGTTAATATGCTGTGACTGTGGCTGTTCTGTGTGGTCGCCAGCCCTCTGCCTCTGGCTTCATCTCAGTACTATTACAGCCTCCACTAGTGGCAAGAAGGGAGACTCACGTTCTCGCTCTGAAAAGAGTGGAGGAAGTTTCCACTCAGCTCCCCGTCATCCCTCGGGGTCCCGGGAGGATTGCTAATGCCACTTAAATTGTTTGGAGAATTCTGGAAACAAAGAGTTCACAACGTTTAAAAAATAAAATGTCATGATGAAGCTCTAAATGCAAAAACTCTCCGCGCGGTTACAATATTTACCTTGTTCATTCCATCCAAATCACCAGAGCCTGAGAATGAAACAATATCAAGAACAATGTTTGTATTCTGTGACCATCAAGAAAAGATCATTTGATGCACCCAGAACATTTCTGTGTTGTGGTAGTACGTGTATTTTTTTTCTTGTCCGCCGCGTTACCTAGTGACCCGTTCATGTGGTGTGGTTCCATCCCAGCCATGGCTCCCAGGGGTCCGTCAGAGCCGGGGCCCATCGGGAACTAGAGGGGAAACAGGACAGCATGGACTCACTAACAGCGTCTCCACAACACCCAACCAGGTACAAATTAAAAGAGACTTAAAAAAACAACTTATTTCTACTTCTGTGAACTTCAGTCTCTATTTCAACTGAATTTTACATCCAACGGAGACTGAAACAGAAGCCGACCGTATCAAATAACACGCAGATGGAAACACTATAACAAGTGCATTTGTTTTGTCCATAAAAATAGTTTCCATACATTCCTGGGTGGATAGCGCAACTCCAATCTGCTTTAGTAAGGTGTGTTAGTAAAGGCCAGCTCCGTTTATGTGTTATCAAAGAAGTGGAATTTTCTTAAGAAACCATTTAATAAACCATAAAAATGTAGTACTTTAAATAAGCTTTTAAAAGAAGAGGATGTCCAGTGTTTCCCAGTGGTTTCTTTTCCTTCAGCGGTATGCAGGGGCTCCGGTGGATGCGTGTATTGATCCGTCTGAAAGCTGCTAGATCTAACATCCTACATAACTGTGAGAAAGACACAAGACTAGATCATATAATGCAATATGCTGATGTGGAACATCACCGAGTGAAATTTAGATTCAAACCAGGTTCAGCAACTCATCATCTTTAGAAGAATGTCAGTAATTTAGCACGAAAAAACAAAGACTGTCTGTAAGCCCTTTTGTACTTCACAGTGATGACACACGTAGAATCATTTTTTAACTTAAAGATCAAATGTATTTTCACAGCAACATGGCTGTATAGACCAGATCAATCGCTTGATACAGGATGGGTGGTGGGCTTGGTGCAAAAGAGAGGAATAGAAGCAATTCAGTCGTTAGTGGGATACAACAATGATTGTCTAGAAAGTGCGCCGATTGTACTTGTACTACCAAATCCACACTTGAACGATGAAACAGAACTTACGTTATTTCGGTTGCCGGGTCCAGTGTTGATCATGGTGTACAAATTGTCACCAGAGTTGTTTGAGTCTGTAAAAAGGTGCAATCATACATATAAGTGGTACTGGATAGTTCATGAAAAAGGGGAGTGAGTAACAGCTGAGGTCAACGAAGCACTAACCTGCAGGGCTGGGCATGATGGGAGTTCCTGGGGGCCCCCCACCTCCAGATGCACCCTACGGAGAATCGGTCAAAAGATAGAAATGAAGAAAAGAAAGAACATTTACATGTAAAAACATACACATACTATATGAAAATATCATTTAAGTTAAGATGGCAGGATGTGCTCTCACCCCGTATGCACCAGGGGAGGGTGATGAGTAAGGCATCTGAAACCAAACACACAAACATTACAGACCAGAAATGGGTGAGTGCAAACCCTTTCGATACCTCAAAATGTCATCATCCATCATTTGATCGTCCTAATACCATTACGGCGGTCTGTCCAACTGTCTGTGGAAACCGTGACACACAATACTACAGTTGCATCCCAGTCTGGACCCGTGGAGCACATTACATCTCTGCAGCTCTGAGAGGAAATCTGACTGCAATCTGAACCAGCATTGTTCTGCTGGGGGTATATGTGTGTGTGTGTGTGTGTGTGTGTGTGTGTGTGTGTGCGCATTGGTACTCACAGAGTTGGCATTGTTGGGATTGGGCCATGGCCGACCAGTCCCTGGGCCCCTAGATGGTAAATGAATAAATAGATTTTAGATATTTAATGCATTAAGGTTGAAGGACATGTGAAAGAATGGATTTACACTTTTAAAAGGCTCACATGTTCACTCCTGGCATACCGGGGCCCATGGTGTTGTGTGGAGGCCTCATCCCGCCACCAAAGTTCTGAGAGACAAACAAAAAAAAAAAAAGATTTTAAAACGGAGTGAAGTATGAGAAGAAAATCCATGCAAACCACCGATACCATCAAAATAACTTTGGTAAACCAGTCTGGTAAAGACGACTGACTGGGGTCATCAAGGCAGTGGTGATATTATTCTATGTTTAGTACAACAGCCTACCTGAGGGCCGGGCCCCATAGGCCCCATGCCTCGAGGGCCGCTCATTCTCTGCATTGGCCCCAAGTTAGGATGGCCTGGAGGGAAAAAGGAAATCTATATGAAGCAATAAGACAGGAAATAATTTCTCTACTGCAGCAATTTCTAGACAATATTAGAAAAGTGCCTCAAAACATATCTGAGAATAAAACAACAAAAACATTAATATCCATACACAATAGAGTTACAATGATAAAAACAAACAAAAAGGTTGCTGCAAATCAGGCATCAAAAAGGCTTTCTTAGAAAAATAAGTAATAAGCAATAATTTAAAAACAGGTAATTTGTAGTCTAATCTCCTCAGGAAGATAATTCCTGAACCGCGGGGTCCTGATGGCAAAAGCCCGATCACCTCAGTCTCCAGCCTTCAGCGACAACTAGCGACGGGAGGCTTGAGGATCTGAAGTTAGGACTTGGAGCCTAGATGGATATGGGATCTAGGTTTGGTCTTAGTAGAAATGCAAACGCAGTACCTTGTGGCCGTGTTGGGTCCATGTTGGGCAGCATGGGATGAGGACCCGGTCCTCCGCCTGGTGGCTGCCGGGGATGGAAAAAACACAAAGAGTCAATTAAACTGTTAAATATGTATTGTGTATTCTGCATCCATGGTGTGTGTGTGTGTGTGTGTGTGTGTGTCTGTGTGAAAGCTCTACCTGGTTGGACATCCTGATGGGGGGACCTCTTGGGCCTCCAGCGAAGCGAGGCGACATGAAGGACTACAACAGAAACAATGCTCCTTGAGATTTAAATAAAGAAATGACAAACATCTCTCAAAATGTAGAACTAAATAATTTCTCTGTGTGAATATTGAAAAGCAGCATAGAGCATTAAGCTGAGACGGATGCCAAAGCATGAAGCATCAGCACTGAGAACACGCGTTCCCAAACGACCGCAGACAGAAAAAAAAAAGAGAGAGAAAGAGGGAGAGGGAGTGTTACCTGACTGTGAGGTCCCATCATACTGTTAGGGGGAGGAGCCTGAGGGTGAGGAGAGCCCTGGGGACCAGCAGGACCCTGTGGCGTTGCACAAATTAAGAGAGGCAAGAAGGAAGACAAGAGAAGGAAGAGAAGAGAGGATGAGATAAAGAGAGAAAGAGGGAGCGAGAAACAGAAGTGACAGAAGAGGGGCAGAGAGAGGAGCAGCGTTACCGCGGGGCAGTGGACAGTTGGAGCGCAAGAACCAAAGTGTGGCGGCAAAAAAAAAAAAAAAAAAAGTATAGAAATAAGATTCCATGTACCAACCACACAGTAAAAGAGAGACTGAGCAGAGCGGAGCAAGCAAATGGTTTCGCCTTGAATGAGGGAAAGGAGACAGCGAGATGGAGTGGGTGTGTGCTCTTTTGCCCGTCAGTCAAGTCATCAAGAAGCCTGCTGCATGCAGCATGTCATCAGTGCTAATTTCCCTGAATTAACAGTATCAATTAAGCTCTATGCAATTAGCTCGATAACAACACAAAACACCGGCACTGTGTCACTGATCTGACACACAGAGAGAGAGAGAGAGCGAGGTCTAATTGAGCCCCCTCCAATGGATTCTGATATGGAAAGTATGAGTGTGTGTGTGTGCGCGCTCTCATGTATCAATGTCAAAAAACGTCTTTCCTGATATTAACGTGATCACGACTTTGTGCCTTCTAGAACATAATAAGCTGGTGGATATCAGAGCAACATTGCAATTTCATGTCACCTCTTAGAGCCGCTTCCATACAGTTGCCTGCAAACAGTTAATCCTCAAAAGATATTGATTTTTCAGGGAGGTGCTGCACCTTTCGATTTCTCCATTAGGGAAAATGGCCAGGCCACGCCTGCCCGTTTACAGCGCCGGAGGAGCCCAGGCAGACAGGGCGTCTATGATGTTTACTACAAGTTCACTGAGCACAGCGGGGCAATACAAAAAGACTAAAAGCGGCGTAGACGCACCGATGTGGATACATACAGCTTCATGAGACACACAAAAACCCTGACAGCCTTTTACAAAGCGGGCGCCTGCAGACGTGCCGCCAGGAAAACGATCAGTTCATTAGAATGATTTGTCCGTCCACAGGATACCAATTTATGACAATTTTGCAGTCGATGTAGGAGTGTTCCTAGCGGTGACAGACGGTATCAGTGTGGTAAATTCGCTGACCTGGAAAAAGCCGGGTGGCATGGGTCCTCCTGGCATGCCCTCACCAGGGGGCATCCCTCCCATCACAGGACTGGGGGCTGCTGCTGCACTCTAAGAAAAGAAAAAGGAAGATAGAAAATATTCTCAGTACACGCATGGATCTTGAAATGTTATTGCTGGAAATCTATTTAATCCCTTCATGACCGAGGTTCTTGGCACATCGAATATTCTTAAAAAAAAAAAAAAAAAAAGGTCCCGTTCACACACGCAGTCCATCACTGAAACGTTCATTCCTACACGGGGGTCATGTGCCGGTGGGAGCAGAGGATCGCTGTTCAGGGAAATCTGTAACGCCACTTTCCCATCTCAAGACCTAGTAACACTTCTGCTGGTGCAGCTGTGTTGTGAATGAAAGTAGAAACGTTGCACTTAAACGGTCACGTCCGTCTGACTCACACGGGACGACCAAACCGATCACAAGACTCTGCTGATGATCCATTTTAGTCCACAACTAATTTTACAGTTCAGCATGGATGTCAGCGCTTTCCCGCAAAGTCCCTGAGGGTTTAGGACAGTCCCACTGTCAAACCACCGAGTGTCTGAGGGCTCTTCGCAGACATTTTGAGCCCTTTATGAACCTTTTCCGTAAGTCAGCATAGGATGCAGACTTTGCCCAAGGGAATTACCCACAATTCATTGCGATGTGACATTTAACACGGGGTAAAACAGTGGAAGCATGGAGACATAAAAAAAAAAAAAAAAAAAAGTAAACAAAGAGGACGACACAGGTGTGTTCACCCTGGAATATTAAATGTACTCAGAAACATTAAGATGGAACAAAAAAAACATGAAATGAGAGGATATTTATTTATTCATCAAATATTAGATTTTTTATCATTGAAGCTGAGTAAATATATTATTTGAAATGACCTCTCATCTTGTGAGGAAAGAGCCTGGAAGATGTTCAAATCAGGGAATACAAAGTATAAAATAAATACCCACACTGTCCCATTCGTATTTACACCATTTCAAGCCCTCAGTCTCTCACACTCAACCATCGAACAGCTGACGTCAGTTCAGGGTTCAGGGTTCAGGGTTTGAGGCCTTAGGGGGGGACATTGGGATTAGGCCTTACATTTAGTCTTGCCCCTTCTTCTTCTGTTCACTTTTATGGCGGTTAACATCCATAAGTAATGCATCACCGCCATCTGCTGGACTTCCCCCCCCCCCCCATCCATTCCGGCACTACGTGTGTGAAAGGGCGCAAGACGGAAGGAAACGAGGTTCAGCTCAATAAATTTGGCCGTCAATCTGAAAGGGTTGTTGTGTGTTATGTGATCCTTGTCCAGACTTGGGAATTAAATTAAGATTACATTCCATGTTATTTTTGTTTAAACATAATTCAACGCACTGCCAACTAATCGGAAAAAGAGAAAGAAAGGTATTCAACATGGATCCTGTAGCCCCGCATCATTTGTGGGTGGACTGTATGGAAGCGGTGTTAATGGGTTAATGAGGCCTTTGTACTCGGTTGATCCAGGATATCAGTGGGATTCAATAAGACAGTGGCTCCAAAGTGCTGCTACACAGCAGGGGCTCGCTGGGCCGATATCCTGCTCAAACCGCAGCCTCTAATTCGCTAATGTGCCATTTGCTTCGGTCACACGCTGCTAATTGACTGAGTTGTTCTTCCCTCGTAGCCGAGGCAATCCGAGACGGGCTAATGTCTCCGGGCTGTGTGGGCTTAGCTTCCAAAGAAGCGCTTCAGAACGAGAGAAGCTCCTCCAGTCTCATTTCTTAATGCGTAGCTCAGTCTTGATATAGTGTAGGTGTACGCAAACAAGCAATGAGCATTACAACGAGATACACACACACACACACACACACACACACACACACACACACACACACAGGTATTGACTGCTCCTTCCCTAATTATATCTGCTCAGGCAGCCACTGCAGGGTCACTGTGAAATACCTCAGCAGGGAGAGAAGTGAGGCCACAGAGAGAAGTCACATCTCATCAGCTCACCACCACCACAGGGACACGGACACAGCCCGTCAACACCGTTTCTTTACTGAAATATACTCTTATAACCGTGTGGGAGGAGACATCTTCTGCAGATTTATAGTTGATCTGCAGACTCATTTTGCTAAATCTGTGTATGAAAACATAATTAAGATTCAAAGTTAATTTAATTTTCACCGATACAAAAGTCACAACAAAAACCTTTAAAATAGCTCAAATACCTAGAAACACTTCCCACTAAGGTGTGAGCAGCGTGTGTATGTTTGGTGACCTGGATGGTTTGAGATGCTATTTACCAGACACAAGAAGTCGTGCTACCTCAGAGAGTTTGCACTTCTTAAAGTTTTTAATTTGTCACCTCAAAGGCAACAGTAGACCTGTATGTTTGGTGTATCTGCAGGTTACACTTGTAACTGTAATTGATAAAACAAACTGTATTTCAGATAAAAGATGCAAACACACATGGATTGAAATAAATGTGCATACATACACATGTATGTATTATCTTAAGGCCAAATGATGCAACAGACATGTCAAAATGTGCAGCTTTCATTATGATTTACCGATGCAACAATTATACCGTTTCCCCACATGATCCAATCTGCACATATTTATTCTCTAGATTTCTTATCTATGCCTGACATGAAGGTACATTCATGTCGATCACATGACTAGCGACCATAGACTGAAGATATACAGGAAATATATATAGTATCTCAATCATCTGACCAAGTTATTTAAAAGCATTTCCACCCTCTTAACACCAAATCATCATTAAATATATGTTTGCATTTAATCTGATGTCAAAGTCAGCACCATATTCAAAGTATACACTTAACAACTGTTAAGACCAGCAGTGCATGAAGTCAAATATTACCAAATCATCTGCTTATACAACACATGACCTGTTTTGCAAGAATTGAACTGCCAAGACAAGTCATCCACATGCAAGACAAACAAGACTGAAGTTAAGATCCTGTCCTGCCCGACTGTTACCGACTTGCAAGGGTTCACCCAGCAATTACTGCGTCTAACCGGCATGGCCTGACAGGTTCACCAACACAAAGGGCTCTCTGTAAATACTACGCTAGTTTTTACGAGGACCTTTCGTCACGATTCATTAAATCAAAATGGCAGCAAAAGCATCTTAGAAGCACATGAAGTGTAATTATTTCTATGATAGTTGGAAATTATCTATTTAACAGCAGTGATGGGCATACTTGCCCGCTTTGAAGTCAAATGAAAGTACCGTTTGTGAGGATAACCAATCAGAACTCTGCGAAACACGTTGGGCGGCATACCAGCTAGAGCTATAGGCTCATTGTTATCACTATTTTAGACGATTCCGTTCTGCTTCATGGAACTAAAAGCACTGAGATCATACAGTCAGGGACAATGCAATAAGACCAGATGGTAAATATTATCAATCAAACAATGACCTGGTGAGATTACAAAGAGAGGAGGGCATGAGGAAAACCGTGGAAAGACAAAGAGTTAGGACAAATATTCTCCAAACTCCAAAACTTAAATATCACTTGTGTAGACTGGCTATCAATAATATCAAATAGATTAAAGCACATACATATAGGAAAACAACTATCAGCATGTGAAAAGGCTCCTCACAACCATGCCAGCATAAGCCTGGGAGGATTTGATCCCTCTTATTAGTATAGAAGGGAGTATATCCTCTATATTAGGGGCCTGTAACTAACCTTCACCGTTCTATGTTCCAAGTAAATTCCCTGTGACATTAAGCTGCGTTATTATTCTCAATGAATGCGTTAATTGCAGCTCATCTCTAAAGATATTCATCCTCCTTCTGATTGCATTTGAATAGCCTATAAATTGCCGCTCCTACGGGAGATCGGTAGTAAATTCGTCATCTGAAGGAAAGTGTGTTCTGTGTTCAACCAAAGAAAACATTCTCGGTGCAACGGGAGAAAGGAGTTCATTATAGATAACGGTTGATCTACAGCGTCTACCGTTTCATAGTAGAGTGGTGTATGGTCATAGAGCCAAATTGTCTGGTCCCTTTACGGCGAAACAGCGACTTGTTTCGTTCCACTTCCCTTACGTAGCCCGTTCCTGGAATGAGGCCTTCAAAGAAACTTAGTGAAACAAAGCTGTATTTAAGGTAATGAGTCATAAAACAATGTAAACATAGAAACTGAAAAGCAACGTGCACTGTTATGTTAAACCTTCATCGTGTCTAACTAAAGCCCACAGCTGTGCTTGCTGGACTGTCCTGAATAGCCTGATGCTGCTTTTCCTTTTTCGAAGCGAGCCCCGTCTGTCCGCTGGCTATCTGCTACAGGAAAGGGGCAGATGTCTCAGCCCTGCCCCAGGCTACGAGGCGCTTGTCTGGGGGCCTTCCATACGACTTCCCAGGGGACCTCTTTTAAAAAAAGACAGACTACCCCCCCTAACATGATTCAGCGTGTACATTTGTGTGTAGTTCACGAGCACACAAGCAATCCCAGCCAAACAAATTTCCCCTTGAATTCTCGAATCACTTGAAGGAGGTTACAAAAGGCCAGAGCGACAGCGGATGTGCTTGTGCGCTCTTTACAAAAACAAAAGAGAGAGAGAGAGAGAGAGAGGAGGGGGGGGGGGGGGGGGGGAACACAGAGGGGGAGAGAAAGAAAGGAAAGGGAGCACAGGGCGAGGATGACCGAGAGGTTGACTGAGGCAACCGTGACAAAACAAAACACAACGGTATACTCAGAGAGACGAGAAGAAAACGTGAGATGTAAAAAAGGGATGAAGGAGAAAGGATTTGGGTTCTGGGTGGTTGGGCTGCAGCACAGACCACCCAAATGTCGCCTCCTGACCTTGCGTGCTCTTAACAGCCTCACTTCTTCCACTGGAACCGCCGCTCAAAAAGAAACCAGCCCCTATGTTTAGCTTGTAAATGTTTAACCATCAATCAACACCATAAACCCCTCTCTGAATCCTGACTGGATGCTCTCTCTCTCTCTCTGGTTACTCTGAGCAGGTTTCCTTCCACTTCTCATCTCTCCTTCGTCTGTTCATTCCCTCAGCTCCTTGGTGGAGGTGGATGCTGGGCATATGCCACGTTGCCACTCCCCTTTTCCTTTTCCCTCCCCCCCAATCTGACCCTCAGCTCCGTGACAGCCATCAATCAAACTGGGGCCCCTCTGGGAGTGTCTGTCAGGCCCCTGTGTGAATACGCCGGGGGTTTTACGAGCCCCGCCGGCTAAAAAGAGCAGCCACAACCCCCCCACACCAAGACAAAGACACAGGGTCCAACAACTAGTACTGTCCACACACACACACACACACACACTTGCCTGACTCCCAACATCCACACACGAACACGAGGAGAACGAACATCAGAGCGAAGGGCAACCACAAGATGTCGGGGAGAGCCGACCACACACAAAACTCCCAGAGCGCACTGCTCCAGACTGACGATCCACTGCTCCCTCTCATTTGCTTAATGTTTTCCATGTTATGAAAATTGTCTCCGTGGAACCACAAGCTGCAATCTTGACATCCTATTATGTGCTGTTGGAAATCTCTTTTTTCGAGGAGAAACTGCAAAAATAATATAAGAACAATCAGTTCGGTTGTTAATATTAGTATACGTTTACCTTCCCCAAAAAGAGATGTAGCTGTTCTGAAATTTAAGATTGTTCAAGCAATACAAGACCATCCGACCCAGGAAGATGTTGCAATCGATCACAGTGAAGTGGGCTTTGTGAATTAAGGCTGGTTTCAAACAAAATGTATTTGTACGTGTTAGAATAATACGGAATGTGGTTATTATAAAGGGGCGACGCTGTAGCCTCTCTCTGCTCACAGGTCACCTGCCAGATCAGGAGGCACTGTTACCCTGACAACCCTATCTGCCAGAGCAGGACCAACATCTCCGCTTTAACCCCTTCCTGTCTTCACATATCACCGACCCCACCTACAAACTGTGTACCGTTCATCCGGAGAGGACTCCTTAACCCCTGATGTCTCTCCTTGGCCGTGCTGATATAGCACTTTTTTTTTTTTTTTAAATCTAATTTACGTCAGCTACATGATGAAACACAAGGAACCGCAGCAGCAGCCACCGACCAGCAGGTCCCACCGTCTCTGATCCTCATGCGGCCTTTTTTTTTTTTTTTTTTTTTAATGCTGGCTCAAAGCTGGAAACAATGCAGCACTTTCTCTAAAACGGCATAATTATCATGATGCAAAAACACCCATACCATGCAAATATCATAAGCGGAGCAATGCGCTACCAAGTGATGCACTTGTCCTGAGCGATATTGAGACTGTACGCTTTTTTAACTGAATAGTCCGAGCACCAAAAACACAAACAGTAGTCTAATATTTTGTCTACTGCCGCTGACTCTTACCACAGCATACTTTACTTTTAATGTTAAATGGAGTCTTTAACAAGGTTAATCACATCCACTGTGAGCTAATGCTACAAAACCTAAACATTTCATGTTACGCTCCATTTTTAGCTGAACAACTCAGCTTTGCTTTTGAAGAGACAATGCTAGCAAAGTAGAAATAAAGTACCGTTAGCCAGTATTTGGCTCATATACGATTGGGTTCCCATTCAGTACTAATCAACTCTCTCAACAACGCCCAACACGCATCTGAAACCATTGCTACATGCTAACTAATTTAACAGTTTAAAAACAAGGTGGGAAGAAAGCGACGTTATGTAATGTAATGTTCAAAACACTCTCCTCCATAAACTACCATTTGAACATTAATATGTCCCTGAACATAACGTAGCACTTTCAGATGGCAATGTTTTCCACTTTTGTTGAGCCCCGATTTATTGTCAGATAAAGATTTTCCAGGACATTTCTGTTTTCAATGATTGGAAAATTTGTCAACTGTTTTTCTGGGCTTTTTCACCCCCCCCAGGGCACATGGGAACCCTGTGTGTGTGTGTGTGTGTGTGTGTACAGAGCTCTCAGAAGTTATGCAGAACACACAGAAATGTCTCTCTGGTCTTCACAGCTGAGGCAGGGAGCTTGAGCGCGGCGTGGATAAGAAGCTCGACAGGTCTGCCTCAGGACATGCTGACATAAGCATCATTTCCCCAGAAGCCTATAAAAGCTCACAGTTGGACGCATCGTTCGACCCACCGACAGGGCAAGATGACCGATCGTAAATTCAGGAGAAGAAAAAAAAAAAGAAGATACTTTCCCAAATTAAATTAGGTAGTTAAATACAGCTACAAAAGGTGCAGTGGGCACACAACTTTTGGGTGAATCATAATCATTCTTCGAGCTAAAAAGGAATCACAATAACCTGAAGTAGTATCACTCTTGAAGGGGAATATGGGAGATTTGGTGTTGACAAACAGAGATTGTGAGCACTTTGCTCCGATAGCATTCTCATTGCAAAACCCAGGTCGGAGGCACATTATTTACACCACTTCTTAGCCTTGAGAGCGGACTTGTTGTCTTCTTTATCAGAAGACAGAGGCAGCGTGTGCAACAGTTCCCGTGTAAGAACTACTCACGTAATCATGGAAGGCTTTCGCTTCGCTGGAGTGGTCACATGTCTCCCTCCTCTCCGGTGCAGCACAATACAAGTCCCAGAATACACTGTGGACGAGACAGGTCGTGAAGAAAACAACAAAAAACCCCAAAAAAAACAACCTCTGGACGTGTTAACAGGGAGACTGGAATATTATCACTTACCACCACCAGGAATGTAGGAATCCAGGGGGTTCTCCGAGTGTTATGTTTTTTTCCCATCGGATCTAGCACAAGGGGGATTTCAATCATTGTCCATGCGTGTCAATTCATTTTAATATATTGTGCAAAACATGTATGTAAATGTATTGAGAAATATTTTTAAAAAAGGACATATAGTATAGTTGAACTTTCCCCCAAAATGTCACATACCTCTGATAAAAAGGTCTGTGCAGACTTCTGTGCTCCTATGTGCAACAAATACTCGTAGACGTACAAAGCCAACCTGTGTGGGAGAAGAAAAAAAAAAAAAAAACTAATGTTAGGTATCATTTAACAAAATATCGCCAACTGGCAAAAAAAAATAAACGTCAAAACAGGAGATTCAATCTTCTTCAACGGCCACAGTGAGTGACTAGAGTCGGGCACAGGCCCTCTGAACAATGGCTGCCAAATAGCCTATGCCCAAAAAAAATGTAAATGGGGGGACCGTGTAACCAAGCCGAGACCTGGGGACGACTCACTACAAAGAGAAGATTACAAGAAAGTGATAAAGCAAGCAGTGTAATTTAACATCGTGTTGCGAAACGTTAAAAACACACACACACCACCAGCCTGCGGTGTATTAGCTAAGGTACAATATCCTGGGGCTGATGGGAAATAAAACGGAGCCTATCCGAAGCGCAACAGAGAAAACAATGTACTGTGTAGCGAGACGATGTTATTGTTTTCTCGCGACTGAATAAACCGCAAAAAAAATTATGAGACAACCCACCGGTTATAACACAACCAAACTGAACTCGGAATCGTTAAGTAGAGGTGTGAAAAGACAGAAAATAATTAAAAAAGAGAGCTCAGAGGAGGAATGGCGAGCAGACAAGGCGGTTCATTCAATTCAATTCTCGGTTAGGAGGAAATCGCCTCTTTGCTAGTCCGTCCAGCGAACAACAGAGAGCAACTTACGAGGCACAAAACACACAATATTAAACGTTTCCGAGCTTACTTTTCTCGTGCTTGGCCGTCCGACGGCACCGGGGTGCCTTTGCCTTTGGGGAACATTGTTTTGTGTGGGAGGACGACCGCCTTCTCTGTCTTTTTTTTGTCGCTATTTCATCTGTCAGATCATCGCGGCCGCGACCCTCTCACACTCCAACCGCACTCCTCCTCAAACCCGACGACTCAACCGAGCCTGGTCCGTGTGGGGGAAGAGGCGGGGCCAGCGCTTGACTGACGCAGCCGACAGCCAATGAGAGCTCGGTCTCCTCTTAAGGTCTGCCTCGACGTGCTTTCAATTTGCTGTTTCGACGTTGATGTCGAGCTTTTACAGCTTTATAATATCGAGGTAATGAAATGAAGATTATTTACTAGTTCCACTGTTGATTTCTTACCCATTCAGTGTTAATGAACTAGTATGATAATTTCCCAAAATGACATTCTGCAATAAATTAAATTGATGTATAGGAGAGTTTTTAATCTAATAAATATTTATAATATAAAGTTACAATATATGATCTCCAAAATCTGGAACCCTGTAAAAGTTTTCTGTTTTTTTTACCAGATGATTTGAGGTAAAACGCAGAGTTTATATTTCGTTTGACCCTCCATAGTAATTAGTTAACCAACAGTATTAATTGTATTAGATAAATTCAGTCAATAGCTCCACATCAAAAAAGGGTATATTTCTATATTTTATAGGCTTTTAAGTGTATAAACTAACAGCAACGAATAGGAAAGACAATTTGGTTTGCTTCTTTATAACCAGAAATTGTGATGTATTGGAATAGAATAATTGTTTTTGTCTTACATAACAAAATGCATTTAAGATATTAGTTTTGCAAGATATCATTGTTGGTTCGTCTTATAAAGAAAATCTCAAGTGTTTAACTTTTGAAAAGTTCATACTTAGGCCTATTGAAGCCAGGTTTAAAAACAACAACAAAAGACAACAACAACGAAAAAACACGGTTTACAGCTTTTCTAGCATCCATAAAAGTTTCTATCGTTGTTTTATTAGAATAAGTTCTTGGACAATATGGCCCACACGAGTTGTTCCTAAGCGGCCCCTAAAGATGAAGTAACTACAGTTCCACCTTAAAAATATGGACGTAACAGTTGCCACTGCAGGGGATGGTCTCTCTCTCTCTCCGCGTCTCTCTCTCCCTCCAGCGGTGACACCGTTGAGTAAAGCTGTGGCGTATGCGTGCATGTGTTTCTAAAGTTGTGGAGCAATGAGTGAAGTGGAAAGAGGTCCGTGTTGTACGCTGCTTCCTTCAGCCGGCGTTAATGTGTAGTAGCCGACGGCCAATTGACACGTGAAGGTCTTTATCTCGATTTCACCACCAGCAGTAACTATAAAACTAGGTAAGCCATTTTATTTACTTTGTTTACAGTTTGTTTACTGCCATGACTTGTTTTTTTTTTTCTAGAATGAAGAGCAGGCTTTTATAGGCGTGCGGAGTCTTTTTGTCACAGAAGTCCATCGTGAATGTTGTGATGTGTCTCATTTCTCCTGAAGTCAACATAAAGGTCACTGCAGCTTCTGTCAGCGTGAACAGGAAAGACAGGTGACCACTGCACGCGCCCCATTGGAGAAGCAGTGTGTGGGCAAACACTTCAATCCCGGCAAATAGTTTCCATGAATACCTCATTTAGCTGCATGCCCTAAAATAGTTTGTATATGTGTCTTGAAATAGTGCGAGACTCCAATTAAACATGCTCTATAAAGGCAAGTCCCAGCATGCATTTGCAAAAAGGACTGCATGTATAATGGCATTGAGAGGCCTACCATTTAAATGCTGCAAGGTTGTAATCACACACATTGGCATTTCAGGTTGTTCCTGATCCTTGAGTTAGAGGGCAAATGTTGGGCAATTCCTCAGACGACAATATGATGCAGATTATCGAAAGCGTCTTATGTTGCAGCACTGCTTCCAAACTGACTGCAGGTTTTCACATTTTAGTAATGTCTCAGCGTGGTAAACATGAACGTCTTGTCTTTTGGATGACGTGGTTTTACTGTAATTTCCTGTGTTTTCTGTCTGTGTAGTTGTGAGTTATTATGACGTCAAATGGGAAACATGCGGACACGGTGCGGGACCCTCTGTTCATCCAGGAGGGTGAGGAAGTGTACAGAAACCCCACCGAGTTGAAGATGAGTCAGATCGTGCTGCCATGCCACGCCAATCACTGTGGAGAGCTGAGCGTTGGACAGCTGCTGAAGTGGATGGACTCCACCGCCTGCTTGTCTGGTAGGAAAAAATGTCAGAAAACATCGAGCTTGTCCTGTTTAAACTCTCCGGAGTTACTCTCACATCTCCGCTACACAACATGTAAGTGACATTGTGTCTAAGATAAGATAAGAAGAGATAATGCTTTTATTAGCAGAGGAGTAGATCAGTACTAGAGGGGCGATCGGAGACCACAGACCACCAACAAAGCCAAGAGTCCAGTCGTGTGTGATGAGCTAATCTTCAAGTACGACCACTATATATAAGTGTGTGTGTGTGTGTGTGTGTGGTGGGGGGGTAAACAAACACCATTCAATCAAGTTTGTTTCATGAAAATTGGGCTTATAGTTTCTCTTTAATCCTGCTGACAAACCAACACACTAACTAGAGGAGCACACATCGGCAAAGGTCATATATCGTTCTTGCAATGTTAATGAAAAAGAAAACTCAACTGTGTATTGAGTACACAGGTACACTGCCACCCATTTACTTTAAAATCGGGCCAGTAGTCTTTCCGTAATCCTGCTGACAACCGAACCAAAAACATAATAGTAACCACACTCTGACCATGCACCGTGGTTATCCAAGAATATCCCAAAATGGCCACTGAAGTATTCTAGCAGGAAGTAGTGGACATACACAGTGCCGATTTAAATCATCATGACTCGCCAGAGGTTCCTGAGCCAAGATTTGAAATTCCCGGGCGCCAAATGTGGTGGGACATTTGTGTACGAGGCTTTTAGGGAGGTACATGTTAGTATTTGTACAGTACTAAAGCATTTGATGTTATGTTGTCAAGTCATGATTCAGGCGATGATTTGCTCTGGTCTCTTGGTTTTGTCTTGACCTCATTGAGAGGTCTTCTAAAAACGGATTTACACGCAACTATGGTAGATTGCTACCACAGCGTAAATAATAGAAATATGTTTTAATTATGGGCCGCTTCCAAACATTTAAGTATATCTGTTCAGACGCAATAGATAACACCTGGGCATCAATATATTCTGGTGCTTTAAATTAAATGTGTTGGATTACTTTGCCTAACTATAATCTCTGTCCTCCCAGCTGAGAGACATGCAGGATGTTCCTGTATCACTGCGTCTGTGGACGACATCCATTTTGAACACACCATAGGGTAATGTATTAACAGTAGAGAGGTCCAGATTGTGTTGATAGTTTAATCACCGCTCCGTGTTGATAGTAAAGAGAAGTATCTCTGTCTTGTCTATTCCAGGGTGGGAAAGGTCGTCAACATCATAGCAAAAGTCAACAGAGCCTTCACGTCCAGTATGGAGGTTAGTGGACGTTTGATTTCAGCGTGGCGAACGTTTTTTACTTCAGAAAAAACGACAAATGCATGTGGTGGTTCTTTTGTCATTTCAGGTGGGCATATTGGTGAATTGTGAAGATCTTTACACCGACAGGCAGTGGAAGGTTTGCCACGCTTTTGCTACCTTTGTCGCCCGACGAACTGAAGCGGGGAAGGTAAGGGACAGAGGACCCGAAATATGCATTTTCACTGAAGCTGGTTCGACATCCCCCTATGTGCTCTGTGTACACAGGTACAGCTGAAGCAGGTGCTTCCTCGCACACAATTGGAGCAGATGGAGTACAGCCTGGCAGCAGAGCGGAGGAGGATGAGGCTCATCCATGCTGAGATCATTACAGACCTCCTGAGCAGCAGCACGGCTCAGCTGGGTACAGACTGGAGACACGGGGCTTTAAAACACGGCACAGTTGCACACACACGCGCAGCATTTAAAAATCGGACTGATTGTAGCTCCTTGTTGTCGCGCTCTCACCAGGAGAATGCCAGGAGTACCAGGACGCTGTGCCGGCCGAGCGGACGCGGGTGGAGAGCGTGGAGCTGGTGCTGCCGCCACATGCCAACCATCAAGTCAGCACCTTTGGGGGCCAGATCATGGCCTGGATGGAGAATGTGGCTACAATTGCAGCAAGGTGTGTCCCTAGTTTTATTTGAAACGAGACTTAAACCAGCTTTAAAGGAATAGTTTGATATTTTGAATAACTTTATTGCTGAGTTAGATGAGAAGATCAAAAGCACTGTCGTATCTGAATGTTGAATATGAAACTGCAGCCAGCAGTTGGTTGAGTTAGCTTAGCTTGAAGACTGGAGACAGAATCAGACTCCCCTTCATTGGCCAAGTACGTGTGCACATGCTAAGAAATGGACTCGGTTTTTGTGCATCTCTCTCGATGTAGAAATAACAGCTAGGAACATTAAAGCTGGATAAATAAAGGTAAAGAATAGACAGAACTATTATGTACACAAAAAAAAAAAAAATAGTTGTATATTAATATCATATAAATATAAAAAGTCCCAAAAAAATGACCATCAATAAAATGTCGATAAACAAGTGTTCTGTAAGTTGTATACTATACAAATGGTGCCAAAAAAAGTAAATAATGAATGGATAGATTTACATGGATTGTACAGTATTTAAATTGACAGTGACAGATTATTTATTCATATTAAAAATGTGGGCATTAAAAACTAAAATGATTATCTATAATGGCAGCAGTGGATATTTTGTGAGTGTCGGCTTGAAGGGGAAAGAGCAAGCCGGGTAACAGAATCCTCCAACCATCACTTCTAAAGCGCTCTAATTAATAAATGATATCTCTTTTGTTTGACAAAGACGAGTTGTGGTTTTACAGGGAGTTCTGTACGGGACTATTTCTTAGCCGAGCGAAGTGACTTCTTGGAGTCTTGGCTTCTCCATGAGACTCCAGGAAGTCACTGCACCCAGACCAAGAAATAATCACACACAAACACCCCTATGAAACCATTGATAGTCTTTATTATACGTAAGTATTTGTATGTAGAAAACAAACAATATAAATAATGGTAGTTGGTGAGCTTTAGAGATGCAGGTAGGCGGGTTTTGTCTCCTTTGGACTGAGCCTGGATAGTTGCTTCTCCCTATTTCCAGTATTTATGCTGCGCTAAGATACCGGGCTGTAGCCTCATTTTTAACCCGGAGATATGACAACGGTATCAATCTTCTCATCAAACTCGCGATAAGAAAACAGATAAGCATATTCCTAACGAACCCTAGTTTGCTGAGGCTATTTGTAATGACTTCTTCTTCCTCCTTTTTTTCTTCATATTTTGATCTAGTCGCTTGTGTAATGCTCACCCAACCTTGAGGAGCATCGACATGTTCCATTTTCGTGGCCCGTCTCACATTGGTGACCGACTGGTACTGAAAGCCATTGTTAACAATAGCTTCAAGCACAGGTGAGTCGTCACATAATGAAGCGAAGGAAAGCACAAAGCTATCAAACTATCAACTCGTCTAATAAAGTGTGTTTTTTACCGTACGTCTGTGCGTATGCACTTCTCTGTCTGAACCTACGCGCCTGCATACGCGGTGTGCTCCAGCATGGAGGTGGGAGTGTGTGCGGAGGCCTACCAGGGTGGAGAACCTCTGCGCCATATAAATAGTGCTTTCATGACCTTTGAGGTGCTGGACGGTGACGGGAAGCCGTGCACGCTATCGCGGATACGACCTGAGCCTGTTGTGAGTTTTCTTTGTGTCCTTTTGCTGCATGAGAGCCCATAATATAAAGTACAGCATAGAGCAAAAAAAGGGTAATTTTCAGTACCAAGTTATGACAAAATAAGCATCTTTATGTGAGGATTTCAACATTAGGTTTCCCTATGTTTTACAGGACGGGAAAAGACGTTATCAAGAAGCTATTGCCAGAAAGAAGATTCGCCTTGATAGGTTAGTATGTTCCCTTAAAACAGCAGATGTTGTTCTTATTACTGATACTGTGCTGACATGGTTTATTGCAGATATGTCGATTTTTATTTTTTTTTATTTATTTATTTATTTTTTTTGTAAGTTGCTTAATGTGCATTTTCTTTCTCCCCGTCTCTTTGTCAGGTTTGATTCAACATGAATCATAAAACATTAAAAACAGCAGCAAATAGAATAAAAACAATTATAGCGCATGATTGCTGTATAAAGGACAGGAAGTAATACAGAAACGTTGTCATCATTGCTTCGTTTATCCACTGTTGTGCTACAGAGGCCTTTATTTACAGTCGACTGCAGCAGCACATGACTTGGCAGAGCAGCGTTTCACAGCTGAGCAGACTTTGGTGCCGAGTCTGTCGAGCATAATAAGTTCATTGTTCAACTGTAAAATACCCGGCCTCCAGTATAATCTTTATTCCACTATTTCGTAACCAAACGCGTTGGCTCATTGCTAGAACGAGAAGCTTCATATTATGATCAGGTCCTCTGATCTTCCTTTTGTCCCTGAATGTAAATCCTTGTGCCCTACATGTCTACAGGAAATACATTATCTCCTGCAAGCAAACGGAAGTGCCCGTCTCGGTACCCTGGGATCCAAGTAACCAGGTATTTCTGGCAAACAGAGTCACACATGCTTCGTGAGGCTTATTGCCACCGTATTCAAGAATGCAGACAGTCCTTTGTTTCGTTTTTTCTAGATGTACCTGAGCTACAATAATGTATCGGCACTGAAACTAATGGATACCAGAAAGAACTGGGTATTAACGTCTGAGAAAAACAAGGTCAGTATTGTTTGTGTTATTGTACTACAAGGATGTAGCTTGTTAAATAGACGCAGCTGTTGTGATTCCGCCATGCATTCTGATCTGTATTATTTTGGACAAGCTGCACAGTCACAGTGGCCGTCCAGGAAGTTGGCCCATATTGCTTTAAAGTAAATTGTGGAATAATGCAGAATAAGAAATAATATAAACATTGTACTTACTTCTGCTCCAGCCCCTCTCCAAAAGGCATGGTCAAAGCTTTAAAGAACGAGCTCTGAATATAGACTAAGAATATGTATCATTTGTATAATCTCTCATGCACTCACCAGTTAATGTGGCGGTTTTGACAGCAGTCAAACTCGATGTGTGCGCATTAGAATAACTGGAACAAATCCTATTTATAGACATCGAGCCCACCTCCTCTTTGTGGATTTGCTCCTCTTAGGTCAGACTGTACACACTGGAGGAAAACCACGTGCTGTGTTTCAAGGTGGAGATGCACGTCAGCGTGCCGGCAGAGCAGACGTTCCACCTTCTGTCAGACCTGAGGAGGAGAGAGGAGTGGGACCGGCACTATGAGTCAGTATGAGTGCCGTCGTCTGGCGCACAGCAATTTACAGTTAATGGAACAGCAGCATAGGCTTAAACATACTTCTGTTATTCTATGCTTTTCTTATTGTCAACTAATTTCATAAAAACATCAAAACCAAGACTCACTCGTTTCTACAGAAGATGTGAATCTTTAAAAATGGATCACAATATGCAGTTATTTCCTAAAACAACCTTTTTACTCAAACATGTGGGGGCTAGTTTCAACTGCAGAACAATATACATGTGGGGCTTTGGTGAGTATTTACGTCAGCAGGACGATGTATGTGAAATGGCCTCAAAATAAAGTACAGTGCTCGTTTTCATGGTAATGAAGGTACACGTCATCCGGTGCAACAGTGGTTCATTTTTCATAATTTTAGGACAACAATTGAGGTCTATTGCACAGAAAAATAAGGGTCAATAAATTGTTGTTTGCTCTTTTTTTGTTGGATCTGTTGACCGCAGGATGAATACAAAACGACTCCTGCCTTATCCTTTTAAATTCCCCAGTTGTATCCTATAACTACAGCAACCAACCAACCAAACCAAAAACACAAGCGTGAAAGTCAGATGCAATGTTATTTCTGCATGAAATATAAACTATTTGTATGTCGTCCCATATTCAAAGCTCACATTGTGAGGCCGCAGTAGTTAGATGGAGTGAATACGGAAAAAACTATTTATTCAAGATGTTTGTCTCAAGTGATCGTTACGGCAGCATGAGATGTGAATTCTACTCTACATTTAATATTTGCATTTTATTACATTACATTTTATTTGCTCATTACTTTGTGGCCTCTGCAGGGAGTGTCAGGTGATCAACCAAGCAGATGAGGAAGACACACTTTACCGCGTGGCGACACCGTCTGTGAGTAAAGGCGGCAAAGGCCAGGACTTTATCTTGCTGGCATCCAGGAGGAAGCCATGTGACGCCAGGTAACACACTACATAATAAACAACCTGCTCGTGTCATTTCACATTGTGTTTCCCACTTCTCCGCTGTATTTATCATGTTGACTATATTTCCTTTTCCCAACTTGTATTGTATTTTTTTATGAAACCAGTTATTGCATCACTGCCTCCTGCTTGTTCTGTCATAAAGTCTCATGATGCTATCCTGGTTTGTCCCTCGTAGGGACCCGTATCTGATCGCTCTGCGCTCTGTCACTTTGCCCACTCACCTCCCCACCGAGGACTACACCAGGGGAGAGGTGCTGTGTGCTGGCTTCACGATCTGGGAAGAGTCCAGCACCGTCACCAAGGTTGGACCAAATGAGAAGGGCCCGCTCGCTATGAGCACATCACTGCGCACTCACGCTGACAATTCACATTTAAAGTAATAACAGGACCCAGTGGTTTACTGCACCACATGTGACCCGATGTGTTTTTGTTTTTAGATCACCTACTACAACCAGGCCACACCGGGCGTCCTCCCCTACATCTCCACAGACATCGCTGGCCTATCCTCCAGCTTTTCGAGCACCTTTTCTGCCTGCAGTCACTTCCTGGAGACCAACAAGGACAGCCTGGCTGCTCTGCCACCGTCTGCACTGTGACACAATACCGCTGCCTTCGTCTCCCTTACAAGAGGAGCAGTAGCATCAGTAGGATCATCTCATTGTCGTCCCATTTTACCTCTGTTGGGGTTGTGGGATGTAAGTGTCCCACCCTGAGATTACAAACTTCTTTGCATTTGTAGTTTCTTTCAGGTCTTTAAAACTCAGTTCTCACTGTATGCATCACTTAAAATGAGACATCATCTTTAATAAGCTAAAGAAATAGTGTTTATACTTTTTTTTAAAGAACTATGAAGCAAGAGTGCACAGTATTTTTAAGTCTCCTAAGATTTTAAGCCTTTTAAGTATTATTAGAGCTAATTTATTAAGGAGCACTCTCTGTGCTATATTAATTTATATATCAATTAATTATTTTGGTGTAAGTATTTAGCACAATCTGTTATCACGGTTTTAATGGTATTCCCAGTCTTTTAGTCTAAGTTGAAATGTTTCAACCAGCCTCTTTTGTTAGTTGATTTTCTACCTCCTAAATAATGTTTTTAAATGATTTGATTGAGACTTTGACTAGGAGTAAGACAAGATATACATTTAGTGTGTTATGATGCTGTTTTGAGACAATGATGTATAGTTTTAGAGGACAACCTTTGCACTGATTGTAATATATGTTGACTTTCAATGGCCAAGTATCTCACATGTCAAGCTGTCTTGATTTTATCTGAAACAATAAACACAATCGACAAGTGGATTATGCTCAATTGAGCTGTTGTGTTGGTGTTCACCTCTCTCACCTCTGCATTCCTGCCATTCCTTAAGCATTTCTTATGGAGAACAAAAAGAAAGGAAAACACAGCTGGCAGCTGTAACCAGTGTTGTAACAGGTGCACAGGCCGACGACCAGTATGATGGAGTCTAAGTGAAAGCTTCTGACTGGGGTTTAAAGGAGTTCATTGCTCTGCTTGTTTTCCAGATTTTGTTCGATTTATTTTTGTATAGTCCAAAATCACAAATCTGCCTCAGAGGGCTTTACAATCTACATATGCGACATCCTCAGTCCCGGGACCCTCACATCGGAACAGGAAAAACTCCCCCAAAAAACCCTTTAACAGGGAGAGAAGAGGAAGAAACCTTAGGGACAGCAACAGAGGAAGGATCCCTCTCCCAGGATGGACAGAAGTGCAATAGATGTCATGTGTACAGAATGAACAACATAACGGCGTTACAACACATTCAATGCATGTTCCACGATCACCCTGCTATGCTCACACTGCTTCTCCGTCAGCAAAACAGAAAAGAAAGCATGATGCATCTGTAATGAAACATTTTGTGAAATTTCAGGTAGAACAATGTAATACTGTTATACACAAGCCGGTCACTAATCCTGTGAAATAAATCCGCCCTAAGCATCCCTGGATGAGGTTATCATGTCTGTTGGCCTGCAGCTGGACCCTCACTGCCGGTTCACACCACTCTGCAGGTCCCTGAACAGCGTCGGATCTGATGTGTGCTATTCTCATTAAAGGCCTCATTCAGTGAGGGAGCCATTATCAGTGCCCTCTCCCAGGCCGTCCTCCTTGTCCTCTATGTTTTAGGAATGCAGCCTCCATCTTGAACGAGCTCCTTGTGCCTCTGCCAGGGTGCTTTCTGTCTTTGGTTCTTGAAGTTTCAGCTCCACAGACTGAATACCAACTCCTTTTGCTCGTGGTCTACCTGTTGGCTGTCATCTGGGAGGCCGCCTTGTCTGAGATCAAAACTTAACAATGTTCATATCCGATCACTGCGGAAGGACTCTAAAGATTTCCTGTTATTTGTCGACATCGTCAGACCCTTTCCTCCAAATTTCTTAACAAATTTCACCCAGCTCGAGTATCTGTAATTGCGTCTTCCTCCTCCTCAGCACCAGTGAAATATCAACAACCAATCTCTGGACGTTTACACATATTGTTGTCATGGAGATTCTCTCAGTGTGACATGTAAGTGAGAGAATACAATCTGTAACAATATGCAATTTAATGTCATGCAAATCAATCACGCAACCAAGCCTCAGGATGGTGTTGAGCAACTGTTGCCACCACAATGTGTGAACAGTGACAGTTGGCACCTTGTTAAAAATGGTTATTTCTGATAAAAAATGGCTCATATCATAAGTTAATGAATTTGACATTCAAGGAGTAAAGTGCAATTTTTAATGATTGCATTTGTCATCAATGGATTAGCTGATGTATACAGCACCTTATAGCCCCGATCAGGAAATTATTGATTTTGCTAATTTCCTGACTAGACCTGATCTGTTGACCTCAGGATGTCGGCCTGTCTGGGAGGTAAGAACAGTTGGTAACAAACAACGGTGACGTAAAACCATAAAACATTACATAATAAAATAAATGGATTACATCAAAACAGTTAAATCTTAAATCAACGTCCACTTACTGTCTTGGTGTCATTGTTGTTTGGAAGGTCATGAATTAACTTACTACATTAGAGGCCCTAATGGTTAACTTACAGGTTTTTTTTACTAGAAACATTACACCATTAAATGAACAAAGAAAATATACTTAAAGAAAGATCAAACAACCAAAAAAAAGTTAAAATATGAACATGCTACATCATTTTGGTGGTTAGTTTCTAATCTTGTTTCTTCGGTTGAACAATTATGCAGGTGAAACACTCTAAAAATAAGTCTTTGCATCAGTGGTATATGTCAATATCACCAATACATATACCAGTATGTAAATAAATTAATAAAGTATGCAATAGTAAAAGTATAAATAATGAAAATAAATAACATTCAATACCAAAACACACTGTCCTTTTGTTATTTTCTTTCTGTGAACTACAGAAACTACTTCACTGACTTAAAGGGTCAAGGAAGTCCACTTAAAGATTCTCAATTTAACAAATTGTATCTATTCCTCTGATGTTTGTGTATTCTGTTTATAAGAGGAACTACTCATATGACAATAATATAGTCCAATTTGATCAACTCTATATGATAAGTTTCATTAAAAAACGCTAAAACATTAACTGAATTATTAATCATAATCTATAAAATCATGACTACAGCCCTGTAGTTCTTAACACACCGCGTGCTCGCTCTTATCCGCGCTTACGTTGTAAACACAACTAACCACGTGACCCGGAAGACAGAGACGGAAAGGTTTCCTTACTACCTGCTAAAACTTAAACCGTACACGGAACCAGCGACTTTATCTAACCCACATTATGAGCCAGGAAAGTGTCCTAAAGTTACAAGCTGCGACGAGAGAAAAGATCCGAACATTTAACTCTCTGCGTGGTGAGTTTTGTGCACTCCTCCTCCGCGGAAAAAGACGCCTGTATGTCATTATTTATGCTTATTGCTTCGTATTTAGTCTTATGTGAAGCCATGTCATAACCCCGGGCTGTGTTTTCTCCGTCTGAAGCTCGAGAGCTGCAGCCCGGGGAGTTCTGGGACGTGGTGGTTGTGACCGCAGTGGATGAGAGCCAGAGAGAAGCGTATGAGCTGCAGCTCAGAGACAAAGTGGACAGAAGGGAGCTTCCCCTCGGACTTCACTACGAGGTCTTCTCGGACCCGCCTGGATCTAAAATAGGTGAGTGAGGCAAGCAGCATCGAGTCTCCAGTTTCAGGGGATCAACAAAGCGCTACATTATTATTATATGTGTTACTAACATGACCTTGTGTTTTCAAGGGAATGGGGGCTCCACCCTGTATGCACTGCAGCAGCTGGAGGACATCTATGGGAAGGCTCTGTGCAGGATGAGAGTCATCCTCATCCATGCAGGTTTGAGAGCTCACTGGCTTTTTGTTGCTGTTAGACATTTAAACTAACTACTGCTTTTTGTCCAAAGCATGCTGGTAGGGTTGCAACTATTTAGAAACCAAAGAAATTGAATTTACCATTATATAGGCCTGAATTAAGTAAACAAAATGTTTTATCAAACCTCAAAAATAACAAACGATTAAAAAATTTGAAAAACTTAAAACGTGAAATGTACATTCTTTCAATAATGAAAATAAATACAGTGAACACAATTGCTCAAGCACATGATGCCAAAACATGTGAGTTGTTAATATGTTCATAATTATGTTATTATAGCATCTTCCAAATGTTTGAGACTTTAAAAGAAAGTGTCAAAAACAGACTTTTCCTATCGTTATTCCAAAGTTGAGGGGTTGATTGCTAATAATTAGACATTTGAGATACTGCATGTATCGTGTGTGACGTTTCCCACTTCTCCTCCTTCCAGGAGGGCTGAGTCAGCGTCTGCCCAGTGCCAGCGCCTTGGGGAAGATCTTCACCGCCGTGCCGCTGGGCAACCCTCTCTACCAGATGCTGGAGCTCAAACTGGCCTTGTATGTGGATTTCCCATCCCACATGAAGCCTGGCGTCCTGGTGACCTGTGCGGACGACATAGAGCTCTACAGTACAGGAGACGATGAGAGCGTTAGGTTTGACAAACCGGGCTTCACGGCTTTAGCCCACCCGTCCTCGCTGTCTATCGGGACGACCCACGGAGTGTTTGTGTTGGATTCAAAGGAAGAGTCGACCGACTCTGAAATGGAGAACGTCTCCTGCCTGCGCTTCCTGCACAAGCCGAGCAACGACAAGATGCGAGACAGCGGAGCGGTTCGTAAGAGGCAGAGCGGTTGTTTTTCTCTCTCCGACACGGAGTTCGTCTACACAGACAGCACCTATTATGTCGACTTTGACACTGCAAAGTCTCTTCTCGGTCTGCTGAAGGAGCTGGGGCCTTTGGACTGTGAGGTAGACGCATACGGGGACTTCCTCCAAGCCCTGGGGCCGAGAGCCACGATAGATTACACCAGCAACACCGCGAATGTCACCAAAGAGGAGAGCAGCCTGGTGGCAGTCCGCCGAAAGATCTTCCATCTTCTGAAAGGGACTCCCTTGAATGTCGTTCTCCTGAACAACTCCAAGTTTTATCACATTGGAACCACGTCGGAGTACCTCTTTCACCTCGCTGAGGATGCGGCGCTGAGGAGTGAGCTGGGTCTCCTGTCGTCTGCCTTCAGCGTTGATGCGAATGAAAGCTCGGGATGCTGCGTTATGTACAGCGTCTTGGATCCCGGCTGCTCTGTGGGAGCTGGATCGGTGGTGGAGTACTCCAGACTGGGAGCAGGAGCGTCCGTCGGGCGGGGCTCCATCGTCAGCAGCTGCTGGGTCGGTGCGGGCCTCTCGGTGCCTGAAGGAGTCTTCATGCATTCTCTGTGTGTGAATTACAAGAACCAAACCAGGTTTGTAACTGTCGTCTTTGGGATTGAGGACAACTTGAAGCGCAGCGTGGACGCCCCTGCGTACATGGAAGAGCTGAAGCTTTTTGGCTTCAGCCTGGCAGAGTGTCTGTCCCACTGGGGGCTGAAAAGGGAAGTGCTGAGGTTCTCCAGCAATGCATCCGGCTGTAGTTTGTGGAACGCTTGTTTGTTTCCCGTCTGCCCCGATCAACGAAGCTCATTCTCTCTGTCTCTGGAGATGCTGCAGGCCGCCCTGAGTGGATCTACATTCGCCGTACCCAAAGACACGATGCTGATGTCTATGCACGAGTCCTTAAAGTGTAAGAACCTGGAGGAGATGTTGAAGTTCAGGAAGGGACTGCATGAAGACATCACACAGAGAAAACCAGACAATCAAAGTTAATAATCCAGATTATGTAGTCAGTTTAAGTGTGAGATAAAGTTGAAGTTGTAACATAAAAGTTCATCCTTACATTTACAGGTTTGTTTTCTACGAATAAAAAGTACAACTGGTGTGTTTTAGGAGCATTTTACTCATTACCTCATCCACAGCACTGCTCTACAGAGACGTGTCCATCGTCTCATAACAGTGTGAGACAAAGGGGACTTCCAAACTCGTATTTCTTAATCGGCCTTTTTCACAGACATTATGGTCATGTTGTCTATAACTATATCTATAACTATATTAACATTGCAGTCATTGCTGGATTGGAGTCTGATTCTCCTTTGCGATTCTTCCTTTTCTATGACAAGTCAACATATTAGTCAAAAATGAGAAACATGTACATATATACAGTTGTGTGAAAAAGTGTTTGCCCCCTTCCTGATTTCTTATTTTTTTGCATGTTTGTCACACTTAAATGATTCAGATCATCAAACTAATTTAAAAATTAGACAAAGATAACAAGTAAACACAAAATGCAGTTTTTAAATGAAGGTTTTTATTATTAGGGGGGGAAAAAAATCCAAACCTACATGGCCCTGTGTGAAAAAGTGATTGCCCCCCCCTGTTAAAACATAAACTAACTGGTTTATCACATCTTTGGAAAGCTGAGTTCAATTTCTCTAGCCACACCCAGGCCTGATTACTGCCACACCTGTTCTCAATCAAGAAATCACTTAAATAGGACCTGCCTGACAAAGTGAGGTAGACCAAAAGATCCTCAAAAGCTAGACATCATGCTGCGATCCAAAGAAATTCAGGAACAAATGAGAAACAAAGTAATTGAGATCTATCAGTCTGGGAAAGGTTACAAAGCCATTTCTAAAGCTTTGGGACTCCAGCGAACCACAGTGAGAGCCATTATCCACAAATGGCGAAAACATGGAACAGTGGTGAACCTTCCCAGGAGTGGCCGGCCGACCAAAATTACCCCAAGAGCGCAGCGATGACTCATCCAAGAGGTCACAAAAGACCCCAGAACAACATCCAAAGAACTGCAGGCCTCACTTGCCTCAATCAAGGTCAGTGTTCATGACTCCACCATAAGAAAGAGACTGGGCAAAAATGGCCTGCATGGCAGAGTTCCAAGACGAAAACCACTGCTGAGCAAAAAGAACATAAAGGCTCGTCTCAAGTTTTGCCAGAAAACATCTTGATGATCCCCCAAGACTTTTGGGAAAATACTCTGTGGACTGACGAGACAAAAGTTGAACTTTTTGGAAGGTGTATGTCCCATTACATCTGGCGTAAAAGTAGCACGGCATTTCAGAAAAGGAACATCATACCAACAGTAAAATATGGTGGTGGTAGTGTGATGGTCTGGGGCTGTTTTGCTGCTTCAGGACCTGGAAGACTTGCTGTGGTAAATGGAACCATGAATTCTGCTGTCTACCAACAAATCCTGAAGGAGAATGTCCGGCCATCTGTTCGTGACCTCAAGCTGAAGCGCACTTGGGTTCTGCAGCAGGACAATGATCCAAAACACACCAGCAAGTCCACCTCTGAATGGCTTAAGAAAAACAAAATGAAGACTTTGGAGTGGCCTAGTCAAAGTCCCGACCTGAATCCGATTGAGATGCTGTGGCATGACCTTAAAAAGGCGGTTCATGCTCGCAAACCCTCCAATGTGGCTGAATTACAACAATTCTGCAAAGATGAGTGGGCCAAAATTCCTCTACAGCGCTGTAAAAGACTCATTGCCAGTTATCGCAAACGCTTGATTGCAGTTGTTGCTGCTAAGGGTGGCCCAACCAGTTATTAGGTTTAGGGGGCAATCACTTTTTCACACAGGGCCATGTAGGTTTGGATTTTTTTTCCCCCTTAATAATAAAAACCTTCATTTAAAAACTGCATTTTGTGTTTACTTGTGTTATCTTTGTCTAATATTTAAATTTGTTTGATGATCTGAAACATTTAAGTGTGACAAACATGCAAAAAAATAAGAAATCAGGAAGGGGGCAAACACTTTTTCACACAACTGTATATTTATAAGAAAAATTATATATTTTTTTAAATATATATATATATATTAAACATAATATAAAAATAAATAAATATATATATAATCAATATAAATTGATACCGTACATCACAATCACACTGAAACACGCCTGCCGTCATTTAGAGGGAGATCAGTTGTCGTAGTTGTTCGGTGTTTATTTTTAGCCCACAGCCATGATCCCCCTCTTTATCTGGAACTGTGCAATTGTGTCAGAGTGAGAGATTGTATTACTGCCTCACCAAACTGTACAGCATATATTCCACGAGAAGAGAGACCTTATCAATGGGAAATTACAAATCAAGACCATCTCAGACGTGCACAGGTAATGGCTCGGGGTGTTTTGTGTGGGGATATTATTTATCTCGGATGTATCCAAGGGACTGAGAACGAGGTTTGAATTGAAGAAGAAAAAGAAAGACTGGAGGGTTGTGTGTTAATGTTGGCTGACATCACAGTCACAAACGGACAAGTTGCACAATCCTTTTCAAAAGTGTCTGACAATTAAATATAGAAGAGTTAAAATACAGTGGTTTGAACTCTATTTCATACAAGTCTATTCAGGGCATATGGGCAATGATAAGGGATGGAAATTCAATTTTCAAATTGTTGTTCTTTTTTAACTCTGACGGTTGGGATGTGAAGATGAGTGGAAGAAGAAAGTGGGCGAGTCGTACGCTGTGATCGTAGAGAAGTTGAAAGACGATCTCCAGCTCAAAGAAAATGAGATCGTGGAGCTCAAACTGGCTTTCAGGTTGACAAAAAAACAATTCCATTGTCATTGTATAAAGTCCATAAAGACATAAAGTCCATTTGAATGCATCAAGTGTTGCTAATAGTGTACTGTACTCTCCTCAGTCGGCTCTTCTGTGTCAGTCGGGTGTCATTTTCTCACAAGCAGGTGATGTTTATTTTCTCTGGCTCAGCTCTGATGAAGCCTTTCAGAAGGTGAACTTGAGCTACCGAACAGAGAAGGGACTGTCGCTGCTGCATCTCTGCTGCGTATGTGGAGGTATGCATGACTACTTGAGTCTATTAATAACTCCTCGAACAAACTGTGGCAGTGTGAGGAAGGATTACTATGAACTGACTGACATTGTTGCCTGTAGATGACCTGCCTGATGTTCCTCACATGAATGAATACAGTAGATATGAAATACATTTCACACAAAAGTGGAGAAATAAATGTGAACTTTCACAATAAACATGTTTTGCTGTGTGAATTATTTTACCACCACATTATATCACGTATTTGATGACCAGGTAACAAGACCCACATCCGCACCCTGATGCTCAAAGGCCTGCGTCCTTCCAGACTGTCCAGGAATGGATTCACTGCGCTCCACCTGGCTGCATACAAGGTGACGGCGATTAAGGAGCAACAAATACAGAATTGAAATATTTTCATCATGTGTTTCTATAGGTGCTACCTATGTCTTTGGTCTTGCTTGTGTTATTTTGTGGTGAAGAGCCTTCCTACCACATGGTGGAGTGCAAGTACCAGTGGTGGAAGAAGTATAAGTAGCAATACCACAGTGTAGAAATACTCTGTTACAAGTAAAACTTGCATTTAAACTCTTACTAAAGTACAGAAACATTAGCATGCAGAATGGCTCATTTCAGAATAATATACACATGACTGAGTACATCACTTTAATGTCGCAGCTGGTAGAGTTGGAGCTGATTTGAATGACTTTGTGAATCGCCTTGTACCACAGGACAATGCTGAGCTGTTGACCGCACTTCTCCACGGCGGGTCGGACGTGCAGCAGGTGGGCTACGGTGCCCTCACTGCCCTGCATGTCGCCACGTTGGCTGGACACCACGAGGTGAGACACATGGGCCAATTTTTGCCTTCAATTACCGTGAGGAAAATTACCTACAGCTCCAGACTTTTCATTGCTTTATTATACACATGATATTGTGCTATTTCTCTCCACCAGGCAGCAGATATACTCCTGCAGCACGGAGCGAATGTGAATGTTCAGGATGCTGTGTTTTTCACCCCACTGCATATTGCTTCTTATAACAGCCATGAGCAGGTAAAGTGCTCATATCCACCACTTGCCACATTCGTAACTGTGATAAATAAAACACTCTGGATTTATATGCGTCCTCTCACCTCTCCGTCCGCCCTTCAGGTGGCGAAGCTGCTGCTCAAGTTTGGGGCAGATGTGAATGCTAGCGGTGAGGTAGGTGACCAGCCTCTGCACCTGGCTGCAGCCAAGGGTTTCCTCAGCATCATCAAGCTCCTGATGGGGGAAGGGACCAAAGCTAATAGTGAGCCTTCAACAGTGCATACTCAATACATGTAGTTAAGTGTCAGTGTGGAAATTATTAGCTCTCCTTAACTTGTCTCCAGTAAATGCTCAGGACAACGAAGATCACGTCCCTCTGCACTTCTGCGCCCGCTTCGGACACCATGAGATTGTTCGTTTCCTCCTGCAGGGCAACTTTGACGTGCAGCCTCACTCTGTCAACATCTACGGAGACACACCATTACACATGTAAATGTTTCTTTACAGTGTCGGTATCCTTCGTCAAGTTTTTCGGAAGATGACAAGTGGAGATGACGTGTTATGTTTATTAATGTGTCTCATCAGGGCCTGCTACAATGGAAAGTTTGAGGCGGCGAAGGAGATTATACAGCTTTCCGGCACAGACAGCCTGTCGAAGGAGAACATATTCAGCGAGACTGCACTTCACAGGTGTCGTCTCACATGCTGTGGTTATCCATAGTCTGACAAACAGAATTACTGATGCAGACACATACTGTATAGACACAAAATGCATGCTTTTTTTTAAACACAGTTTAATTTATGAGCGTCACCTTTAACGTGTGATTCATGCCGCTCCGGGGTGATAACGAGTACTTGTCTTGTGTCACAGTGCGTGCACCTACGGTAAAGACCTGGAGATGGTGAAGTTCTTGTTAAGCCAGAACGCTATGAGCATCAACAATCAGGGCAGAGATGGACACACAGGTGACTCTCTCTAAACACGTGCAGTTTAGATTAAGTACAGGACCAGTTGTGTTTTTCCCACTATAATTTGTACAATAAATACTCTATCTATAGCTCTACACAGTGCCTGTTTTCACGGCCACATCCGCCTGGTGCAGTTCTTGCTGGACAGCGGGGCAGACATGAACCTGGTGGCCTGCGACCCCAGCAGGTCCAGTGGGGAGAAGGACGAGCAGACCTGCCTGATGTGGGCCTATGAAAAAGGTCTGTCGGTATGGTGACCAGCTGTCGGAAAAGATTGAATGATAAACTAATATCAAAGGGATAGTTCTGGTCTTCTGAAGTGGGGTTGTATGAGCTATTTAACCCCACCTCAAAAGACCAGAACTATCCCTTTAACATACTTGAGTTTTCCTTTCTCAGGTCATGATGCCATTGTCACATTACTGAAACACTACAAACGTCCAGACGACTCCCCCTGCAACGAGTACTCACAGCCGGGAGGGGGTGAGTTACCCCCCTTTTAGAGATTATTATCTGGCCTAAAAATCACGCCAAGTCCTCCCATTGCTCTGCCTGAAAATGTCGTCTCTCTTCCAGATGGGTCCTACGTTTCTGTCCCGTCTCCGCTGGGAAAGATCAAAAGCATGACTAAAGGTAGCGAGGTGGAGTGAAGCACGGCAGGTTCTCTCACATTTCACATCACTTGTCAGCTGACATGACAGCACGCACTGTCTGTTGCCAAGGGAGGGGGGTATAGCTGCTGGTGACAACACCTGATGTCCTTAACACTGAAACTACTGATCTACAGTGTGATATTCATACTTAATATCTTAGAATCTATTCGTCTGAATTTGATGAACCACATGTTTAAAGCCTAAAGAGGTTTCAGTTACTGAAACTAACAAGCATATGCCTTATTTTAGGCATTAAAGGAGAATCATGTGGGGCAAATTACAGTATTTTCAGAAGGGCTGTAGTCAACAAAGACAATCTTGTTCGACATAAATTCTACCTATTCAACCAATCAATTGGTCGATGGGGGGGAAAGAAAAAAATTCAGCATGTCACAGTGCGCTCTACCTGGTAGCCTTAATGAATTACAAATAAACATAGAAAACTATTTGCAGCATATTCAATTATTTCTCACTATTTTATCCTAAAATGATAACCGACTCAGCAGACCAGCGTGCACCTGCTCATCTTCATATGATTTACAGAAATAGAAAAGGCTGCCGTAGTGGCCGCAGATATATTTTAACCAAAACAATAGGCTATTTTTTAACATGTAAAAATCTGACCTCTTATAAGAGCCAATCCGCTCCACATGACAATATATATATATATATATAAAATATGCATTAATCAACCGATCCTGACCCGCAAACCTCCAACTCTATGCATTTTAGCAGCACAATTGTCAGGACTGAGGTCTGAAAGACAAATAGTATTACCATGCTTTTACAACAATGCACCACTTTAAAAGGAAAGAAAGTGTTTATCAACTGGTCCGAGTGCAGATTAACCTGAAGAGGGCATTGAATTAAAAAGAGCAACTTTCTTTGTGGGGTAATGATGCATTTGAACTCTTGTAAAGCTCTCCATTGATGAGATAAAAGTTTTCTAAAAACGTTCTGTTTTCAGAGAAAGCTGAAGTTCTGCTGCTCAGGGCCAGCCTCCCATCTCATTACCATCTTCAGCTGTCTGAGCTGGAGTTCAAAGAAATTATTGGATCAGGTAACTTCATACGTTTTCTGTTCTCTTTGCAACACGCTTCAGATAATCCGATATTACTGACGATTAAATCTGCTTCACACTCAGGCTCCTTTGGAAAAGTCTACAGAGGCAAATGCAGAAACAAAATTGTTGCCATAAAACGGTACTTCTCCACTTCTGAAGATGACATCTAACGTCCCATGGGGGGGGGGGGAACTAATGACTTCTTCACTATCCACTGTTGATTGCAGCTATCGAGCCAACACGTACTGCTCCAAGTCAGACGTGGACATGTTCTGCAGAGAGGTCTCCATCCTCTGTCGCCTCAACCACCCCTGTATCATCCAGTTTATGGGGGCGTGTCTCGACGACCCCAGCCAGTTCGCCATCGTAACCCAGTACGTCTCTGGAGGCTCTCTGTTCTCTCTGCTGCACGAGCAGAAGAGGTGAGGATGCTGGAGCTGACAGTATATTATACCACTTCTAACCATTTTAAACACGAACACAGAAAGAGACGCAATATTGAACACTTTGAATGATTAAAGTCACGGCAGGTTTTAAACCAGAAACATTCAAAACAACTGCACAGTCATACCAACCAACACAACAGTCTTTTCATGCGTTAGTGCTGAAAGAGCAGATTAATCAAGTCGTCAATGGACAGAAAATATAATCAACAATAACTTTCTGATAATCCAATAATCATTTAAGTGATTTATCAAGCATAAATGTTAAATAATATTGGTTTACAGCTTCTCAAATGTAGATACTTTTCTCTTTTACAGCATTAAAAGTTGGATTTTAGATTGTTGATCAGGAAAAAACAAGCCATCTTAAATGTGTTTCTGTTAAATTCAACAAATGAAGCTTTTAAAAAACAAGTAAAAGTCCCATGCAGTCAGGTGTGTTAACGTATTGATTCCTTACACACTTTGACAGTGACTACATCCTGATGTTGACACCTAAAAAGAGCTCAAACTACCGTAAGAAAGTACTCAGTGTTCAACAAGGACATGTTTGCACAGCACAGCTAACTATTTCAGGTCTCATTATCCTCCCTGGAAGCAGCGAAGGATCAACATTGATCCAGATGAAGTGTTCCGCTAACTGTGTGGGCAGGTGCCATCTTCATAGACCGTCCTATCGATCTGTGTAAAGTGCTGTGCGTGATTGGCGGGGACCATTGATCTGGCACTAAGTGGCTGCTGCTTTAATGATGTGTCAATGGACAGGCTCATCGACCTGCAGTCAAAGCTCGTCATTGGCATCGACGTGGCCAAGGGCATGGAGTACCTGCACAACCTCACCCAGCCCATCATCCACAGGGACCTGAACAGGTGGGTGCCACAGTAGCAGCGTTTGTGGTGGGGTGGGACTAACAAGAGTAGAAAACTGTTGTCTTTACTCATGATACATGTGATCCTTCCAGCCACAACATTCTGCTGTATGAGGACGGCCATGCAGTGGTGGCTGATTTTGGAGGTGAGAGACATTTTGCAGTGTACAAGAAAAGGAAAGCTGCATTAACCATTTTTTGAAAGAATAAGATAAAACTCACACATTAGTAACTAACTGACATTATGAGTCAGTTTACCTGCTTTAAGAGTCTTTGCCATCTGTGCCTCTGTTCTGTTTTGGGGATTTATTATTGACCAGAGTGGCCGCTGTTCCGCTAAAGTTAATACAGCCTCACTTGAATGCAGCTTTAAAGTCATGGTCCACTATTGTTCATAGCACAACAGAGAAAAAATAGGAAACTAGGAGAAACTTTGTTCTTTATAGTAGACAGAGTTCCCATAAACAAATCAAATCCAAGTAAAGTAAACAGCATCAGTTCAACATCTCACTTTCTTTTGTCAATACTGTGATATAGTTTAAAAAAAATGATTGTGGTTATATGTAATAATGCAACATTTACATGGCTATAAAAAATAAAAGAAACTGGACCCTTTAAATGAAAGGAAATTGTCCTTCAAATAAGATTGGTTTGGTAATCATCTTAAGTCACAATGTGTATTTGTCCTGATGTGGGATTTCTCCACAGTTTAAAGTAACTTCAGTGTTCAGTGTCTGATGGCCGTACATACAGAATATTGGTCAAAGTCTTTTATTTTTTAAGTTCAGCTCAGATATGTCGGTGTCTGATGAGTCAAAGTGCCCTTTAAGTTTATTGTATGTTGGAGCTGGTGACTGGTGATCTTACCACAAAGCAGATTCCAGTTCATCTGGTTGAAACCAAGCTGGGAGGCTCATCATCTACTGGAGTTGTTGGATCTTCTTCTCACTCAGTAAAATATTTTACCTGCAGAGTCTCTGTTCTGCTTGCCTTCATATTTCATATTTCTAATGTTGTACAACATCATACTAGGTCATAACGACAAAGTAAAGGCTGACTGATTGCAAAAAACTTAACATATTGAAAATGATTTACTCTCTAGCTCAAATTCCAAATCAACATATTAGAATTATTTTGTTCAACAAAATATGCAGAGCATAAACACAATGCAAATATTAGACATGAAAATAGAATCAGATTGTGTCAGCTGAGCCAATATTTATGTAAGCAATAAAACATTTAACTCTACATCTTACACATTAAACCTACAAATGCACAAAAGATGCAAAATTGTACTTTTCAGTAGAAACACAGTGCCTGTTTCACCAATTAAACACAATCATTTTTGGAAAATACTCTTAGCAGTGACAGTAAAACTAAATTTCGTATTTCTCATCAAATACACAGCTCTGATAACTGCTCGAGTTCAGCAACAGTTTTGACTTCAGTGACTTCATGTTGTCGACTTTTGTGAAGCTCAACGTTGTTAAACAGAGCTCAAAACTTCTAGCTCAATATTGAAACTCCACCTCGCGCTCACCAACTGCACTGCAGCACTTCCGGTTAATTTGAACTTCCGCACTAAAAAACTTCCGGTTGATTTTTAGTAACTGCACTGCAGCACTTCCGGTTAATTTTAGGTAGTGATGGGAACTTGTGAAACAAAAGATTTGACTTAGTTATGACAACTGTACTGTCTAATAACAGATGTGAAATAATAAAGTTAAAACTTAAGTCAATAGTTCAATTGTTTAAAATGTATTTATTTCTATTTTAACCCGTTTTGTTCAGCTAGTTAACTCCACACTCAAGGAATTACATTTTTAGTCTGGCAGCAATGTTTCTGTTGGTTTCAGTTATGTTAGTTTCTTGTAATTAAACTTTCTCAATGTGAGTGAGTCTAGATGAAAAGTACAGCTAAATACCATAATGTACATCGTTTTATTTCATTGCATGGTATTCTCTTCCTTTTCAGAATCTAGATTCCTACAATCTGTGGGTGAGGACAACATGACCAAGCAGCCGGGGGTCAGTGCCGTTTCGCTCTCTTTGATTTATTTTATGACACACACAAAACCGTTTGGAATGGGTTTGTCCTCTCTCTTTGGCCAAATACGCTCACACCATCTGCAGTATCCATGGAAGAATAAGGCAGGAGATCAAGCCAGAGCATCTGCTGGCACCTGCCATCAATTACCCACCAGCAAAAAACAAAAAAAAAACTGCCGTCATGCAGATTTTGTGTTGATGTGCTGACTCATCACTACCCAGAGTGCTTGGCCTGCAGTTTGGTGTTAAGTGTGTTACATCTCTTGAGGACTGCCTGTTGTGAGGAACTACTTGCCCTTGCTGGGATGCGGTGTTTATGTCAGTAATTGGGCCTCATTCTGTGTGTGTGTGTGTGTGTGTGTGTGTGTGTGATGGCCTAAAAAAGATTCACTCATATTGAGAGCCTAACTGCCGTTACCGTGCTTGTTTGTGCATATATGTGTGTCTATGTGTGTGTGTTTGTACAGAACCTGCGTTGGATGGCTCCCGAGGTGTTCACCCAGTGCACTCGCTACTCTGTGAAGGCAGACATGTTCAGCTACGCCCTCTGTCTGTGGGAGCTGCTTACTGGAGAAATTCCCTTCGCTCACTTGAAACCAGGTATTTTCACCTAAATGGTGATAGTTTATGTCAAACCAAGAGAAGACCCCACAAGGGACCTCTGACATTACACACCTTTTTCACAGCAGATGTAGATGATAGTCTATTAGTAGATGATACTCTATTGATGCGTGCATAATGCAAAAAGGGCACCAAGGGATTTTTCAAAAAATATATTGACAACACACACAAACTAATACAAGAAAAATAAAACAGAACACAAGCACAGAACAGAAAGGCTGTCTTACTAAACTCAACTAGATTTAAGACGTTCTTCTGTCCTCAGCTGCTGCAGCAGCAGACATGGCCTATCATCACATCCGGCCTCCTGTTGGCTACTCCATCCCCAAACCCATCTCTGCTCTTCTGATGAGAGGCTGGAACGCCTGCCCAGAGGTAAATGACACGATTTCATCTGAGCTCTGATTAAACAATTGTTCTCTAATTAATTTACAGAACATTTTGTACACAAAAGAAAAATCCACTGTGCGCTGTTTACTGTCCAGCGTATACTCAACCAGGTGTTGCCTGGTAGTTTCAATCTGTAAAATAAGCTCACCATTAGCATCCTTTCACGTCGTTAGCTGTTTAGACATACTGAGGCTCAGAGAGACAAGTGATGCTGAGTAAGCTGCTTCTGCAAACATGTCCCCAGACGATGCATTATTGCACGGCTGTTCACATTTAGGAGCACACATGGCCTGTATGATCCTCCCCTCAGTGCTGCGATGTTCATAATTAGCCTGGCGTGTTTTTGTTCTCGGCCTCATTAAAACACATTATAACGCAGCCGAGCATGCTGGTACATTGCGCCCTCTGTGGTACGTCTCCTTCCTGTTTGCCAGTTATAAGGTTGCCAACCGGCTGCTTGCTCCCTGCTGTGATCGCCTTGTCCCAGTGCAACTTTGTCGAGACACTTTTAATAAGAGTGTGATCCTAATAGGACGTCACAAAGTTTCATGTGAGCGCCTCTTTCATGGTGCCTCACCTGTAAGGTGCACCGGCTGCCATGGGGTTTAAAAGTGGGGACACGCTGTTCTGTGTTTACAGTAACTTGTATTTGTCAAAGCCTGAGAGAAGCTCTCAGATGTGTGACACAAATATAATTAGAAATTGCAAAATGAACACTCTACTTTAGTGGTGGTGACATGAAGTGATGCATGGTGCGGTTCATTTATATATATAAAAATCCTTTTGGGCTTTTTGTCGAGAGAACCAGTGCGATGCTACAAAAACACGTCATCGCTGCAGCGCTCTATAGAGCAGTAAGTACTTGATTACTGACAAATAATATGTGAACAAAACAAACAAAAAAGTATTTACTAAAATCATACGTAAAGACCTTTAAAAGTGTGTCATGTGTTTTCATCTTTACTGCGTTGTCCTTGTATTCTTGTTGTTGTGTATTAAAGCAGCACCGATAGACCTTGGCCTCTATCTGAGGATGTATAATTGAACAGCTCCGGTGTGGCAGTGTTTGTTCTTCTACAGTGAGGCAGGAGATCTAAGGACTGCTTTTGAAGCAGAGTTCACCTTTGCTTCATGTGTGGGTGGACTGAAAACGAGTGCAACATACTGGACAGTGTCTGAGAGAACACAAGTGTGTCTGTCTGTTGTGGGAAACAAATGATGCGTTTGATTGTTCAGAATTGAAGCGGAAATAAATTGTAGTCGGCTTTCTCCAATTTCAGGACAGGCCCGAGTTCTCTGAAGTGGTTTCCAACCTGGAGGAATGCTTGTGCAATGTTGAGGTATATATATATATTATCCCACACTTTCTTAAATGTCTAACCCTGCAGTGGTTTTTAATGATGTTTGTGTGGCAGCTGATGTCTCCAGCCTCCAGTAACAGCAGTGGCTCCCTGTCGCCCTCCTCCTCCTCTGACTGTCTGCTCGGGCCAGGAGGACCCGGTCGCAGCCACGTGACCGCCCTGCGCTCCCGCTTCGAGCTGGAGTACGCTCTCAACTCTCGCGCCTACGCCTTCTGGACTCAGAGGTTAGAACACTCAAGGCTCACGCTGAAGGTGGAGAGGGCGAGAATAATCTACTGCACAATGGCCACTTTCACTCTCAACCAAATAACCCACCCGGTCTCAGCCGAACCAAGGTCAGGTTTTAATCAGCGGAAGTTGTTTGCGTGACGCTTCGGTTACCCTGCTGTTGTGTCGTTCTAGTTTCGTGACTTTTATGGAGCAAAAGAACAAAATTAATTTGTTTTTTTTTTTATTGTCACACAATTGAATAACAGCTGAAGCCTCTCACTTGGGCGAGTAGCAAGACTTCATTTCTTAAAACACAAACGACATATTGCAGGTGTCAAACACTGTTCAAACATTCAATCAAATCAGGAGATATAGAGTCTTAATATGAATATTTGTTCTCCAAAAACTGTGGAGCCAAGTTAAAGGCCTAGTTGCATTGACAATGATAACTAGAAAAGTGCACTCAGTAGAGCGCAAATCTCCACCAGGTGTGTCTGCACCGACCCCTGCTGTGAAGAGTCACCACACAGACTTCATCTAAACTCAAAAACAAACTCCGATGTAACGTTGTACAAGCAATGGACTTAAAGTCGTTGTATAATACACTTTATACAACTGTGCCAGAACTAAGAGAGTGAGTCACTGCAACCTCAAGAGGCCCAAAAACTCAGATTAAACTAAATATATAGTTATTATTGTCATCATTTTTAAAAGGGAACACAGATGTTTAAATGTCTTCAATTGATTGAGTTAATGATCTTTACAATTAACAGGTGGATAAAACTTAATAAATGGCCTCGAAGATTTGTTGAAAAAGCTACAACCAAGAAATCTGGTTGTTTTCCCACCAGGGGGAGTTGAGTTAAATGTTTTGGCTTAAAACTCCACTAACAGGAATTCCACAAAACATTGTGTCTGGGCTTGCTCTAACTTGGACAGGCTTTGTAGAAACGACTCCCTCTGAACAATTGTTTTACCAGTAACATGCAGACCAGTTAACACTGCAACAGTGAGGATTTGGAGTTGCTGGGATACTGAGCAGGAAACAAAAGGAAAGCAAATGCAATAAAACATGCATGGCATTCTGACCGACGATAAGACGCCTGGCTTTCAGGCTCTGTACTGTGTGTGCGTGTGTGTGTGGGAGCCTGGTAACAGTCGCTATGAACCCAGAAACAAGAGGTGGGGTTATTGTGGCGGGGCAATGTCTTTTCTCTAATTCCCTGGTGCTCCATCAAAAGGTTAGACTCAACCATTCTGAGTGTTTACATCCCCAATGAAGTGTAAATTCATCCACATGGAGTTTAAATTTCACTGATCTTAAATATATTGTACAAAATGTTCAAATATCAATTGCTAAGCAACATGAACATTGTGCAGAATATGTGCGCGGTCGCCCCGTCAAACCTGTCATCAATGTTGTATTACTGAACTCCTGAAGAGAAAGTGAGAGCAGCCTGCGATTAGGTCGGACATTACATATTGAATTCCTCCTGCTTCTGTCTAGCTCCATCTCATCTGTCTCTCTCCATGTAAACGAAGCTGTATATATTTCTGCGCTGGTGTTGTTTCGCGGTAGATTAATGAGTAAGAGTTGATTTTGTTATGTGTTTTATTTTTCAGTGAGCGGCGTCGAGCATCCGGAGGCCTTTCACTGGAGGAACTCAGAAGGAACATGCAGTTTTCTCCCATTGATCGAAATGGTTTGTTTGCAGAATACATGTATACTAGTGTCGCCTTCAAATGTGCTTTTGAAGACTTCTTATGCAATGTTGGTATTTATAATTATTGTTTATTTTATTCTCTATTACATTTCAATATCATATATTGTACTTTTTAAAGTTAAAGTGTAGAATAGTACTAATGTTGTTATGTCAATATCATTCATAAATGTATCCGACTATAAATGGTGAGTCACAGTTTGTCTCTTTTTCAGGCTACGTGTCTGACCCCATGAGCACCATGAGAGTCTGCTCTTCTTACAGCAGCAGTGGCAGCTTTGAGGACAGTAACTAATATCACCATATGACCATATTAATGCAGACATTCATGCCTGTTGTTGACAGTTCATTTTAAGTATAACTGTATCAATAGATTAGTGGATATTGCTAACTTGCAAAAAACAATTTGTAGTTTGTTGTAGCATACTGTATTTGTATGACTTGTATATGAATTTATAATACATTGTTAGTTCCCAATATCTCTAGGCTTGTGTTATAGGTTTGTTTGTACATTATGTAAACATTTTGTTGATGCTTTCGTTTGTAAATACTGTATGTCTGAAAAGCAAAATCTGTTTTTGTGCACATGGTTTACATACATTTTAAATCCAAGTTCCCAGTCAATGCGTGCATTTGTTCAATGTACACACATCTTCATTCAAGTCAAAGAAAAGAAAAGAAAAGCAGAAGAAGCAGAAAGTCTCTATTCATCGCACGTGTTTTATTATTTTGAGCGGCCAAATCACACAAATGTTCAGTCACTGACAGATGAAATGATGAAGCCTCACAAACCCACACTACCATTAAAATCAGATGACGGAAATACAAATAAATACTAAGTGTTTTTTAGTTTTTTTTAATAAGAGGTAGCGTTAGCAGCAATAATGACACAACTCAGTGCCTAGATTTGACATTTCATAAAGTTTCATTTGACTTATTAGCAACACAATAACGAATGAATTATCCACTTTGTGTTTTTGTCTCGATGTCATAGAAACAGATGTAAAAGCGCTAAAACTGTCATTAACATAGACGCAGTGCAATTACAGATCTCTGATCAAAGCTGAGGTACCGTAACATCAGTGGAAACGCAAAGTGTACTTGGGACAAACTAAGCTGTGGGAGTCCAACAAATATGAATTATTCAACAGTGTGTCAGCGTGAGTGGAGGAGTATCTGTTTACAGGAAACAGGTGACAGCAGCTGCACTTGATACCTCTCACAACCTACGTCTCTTTGTTACCAACAATAGGGAGAGACGGTCTATTGTAAACATTTTATACCGCGGTCAAAGCTCATCATGCAGCTTCTTCTTTTTGGTGATTGCAGGGTGAAGACTATTTAAGAAGCCATTGTAATGTAAACACAGAAACCATAAGACACTTGAGGGCCCTCTGTCAACACTAGAATCATCTTGTATTCACTTTGTATTTTTCTGATCACTACGAATGTTTCTTTTTCTAAATGTAGCCTTCTGATTGTCTAACTGTTCGTTTTTATAACTTCTTATGTATGTTTTTCCTTGTACACTAAAGTAAAATAAAGCATCACCGTACCTTCGTGCCACTCAGCAGCATGCAGCCCTAATGTCCACTCTCCGTCCTCACAGCGGTCAGCAAAGGATACGAACTTCGACCGAACAGTGTTTCATCCACCGAGAAAGTGCTCAGCCGGTCTTTACTGAGAGTGTGTTTGATGTCTTGGATCAGCCGCACGTCTCGTTTGCCTCCGTCGATGCTGCCGTCTGACAATTTAGGTTGCGCATCTCTATGCTGGGACTCCTCCTGGCTTCCATCGTCGGACTTCGATGTCGTGAAATCAGTTATTTCCGTAACTTCTCGACTTTGTTCATCACTTTTTCCCCACGTCTCTACGCTATCGTTCGGTTCATTCGCTTTTAATCTGGAGAGGCCTTCTGGACTGATCGAATCTTCGCGATGCTCTTCTGTTTTGGATGATGGGAGAAGATCTTTCACCTCTTCAATTGCGGTTTGTGTTTCTGGAGCATTGTCAGTAGTTTTCTCCTCAGTTTGGTTCTCAGAGACACTCTCGGGTCTCCCGCTGGTTACTGAATGATGAGTACCTGCAATGCTTTCCACTTCAGTCTTAGAAATGTCAGTTTGCTCAGAGTTGTCCTGCATTAAACCCTCTTGCACATTGTCTTCTTCCAGAGATCCCCTGCTTCCTTTGTGCTCCTCTGACCTCATGTCTTGCCTGCTCACAGACTCCTCATCATTCTGTTCACTCTCTGTTTTGGGGATCAAGTCTTTCACCCCAGTCTCGTCCTCCACTTTCAGGGTGTCTCTCTCACGCGGTTCACCGTCTTCGGAGTGATCGCTCTCAAGGTTTGACGCCACAGTTTCCTCTTTGCTTTTGTCCCTTGACTCATTTACATCTTTTGCCGTGTGCTCTTGTTCTGCATTTTCAGACACCTTCGCCATCTTAAGTGGACTCGCTGATCTCGGCAGCTCTGCAGATTGTGCCGCTTCTTCATTAGAGTTGGACACTTGAGTGTCTGAAGTCGATTCCTTCAAGTCTTCTAGAGGCTCAACAAACGTCTCAAAATACTTTGACGTTTGATGCATGGTTACCCAGTTTGTGACCAGATCTGTGTTGTCTTCCCTCGCCAAGGCCTCTGGAGGGTTACTACCTACTGGAATGCTCTCTTCTGCGTCGTCGTTGTTTTGCGTGAGCTGTGACGACCGCGCTTGAGGTTTGAGCAGCACACTTGCTCCTTCCTCCGAGGCCTTGCTCGCCTCCTCTGCGTCTGCTCCGTTGTCCCCGTCGGCGGCGGAGAGGTCAGCTGCAGCAGCGTTTTCGTCAGCGTGTGGGTGTTTGTCGGTCATGGGGTCAGACGGTGCAGTGGACTCGTGTAACTGGTGAGGTGTGTCGTCTGCATCCACAGTGGTGGGGGTTGAAGATTGTGCCTGATCAACTGCAGAAGCAGCTATGACCTCGCTGACATCACTCTGGACGTTATCGCTCTTTTTCATCAAATCTGAATCTGTGTTATCATTTTTAGGGTCAGGAATGTTGCCATCCTCATCTTGTTTTGTTTCACCGTTCTCTCTGTCATCTGATTTTGATTCCTCTTTTACTTTTGTGCCAGATGTCTCCGGCTCCGACTCATTTTTACTGGATTCATCTTGCTTCTCCACACCATCATTCCCGTCCTCTGGCTCACTTTGTACCACATCGGAGTCATCGACTTTGTCGTCTTCATGTTCCTCAGCACCATCTCCAGACTCCACAGTTACTTCTTTGATCTCTGTGCTCTCAACTTCTGCAGGTTCCTCTGTTTTTCTCTCTTCTTCGGTATTCTCTGCTGTTTTCACGCCATCCTTGCCCTCGGTTTGAGCCTCTCCCTCATCCTCATGAGAAATTTCACCATTTTCAACATCAACTTCTCCCTTTTCACTGATGTCAGGTCCTCCTTCAGTTTCCTTCATTACATCTTCAGCCTCCATTGCATTGTTTGGCGTCTCTTCAGCCGTTTTAGTCCCCTGTGCTACATTTGCTGCTTCCTTGTCACTGACATCCTCTGACTCAGCACTATTTTCCTCAGATATGTTCATATTATCCTTATCCAAGTCTGCATCTCCGCTTTTCTCAGATTCCTCTGGAATCTCAGATATTTCTTCTCCTTCTGCGGTCTTATCAGTTACAACTTTTTTCTCCTCACATTCTTCATCATCTTTATTCTCCGCTTTGTCCTCGTTCTGATCTTTCTCTTTCTTTTCTGCTTCATCATCCTTTTCTTCATCAGCAGCCGAGTTCATCTCTCCACACTCATTAGTTTTATCAGTCGCGGCTCCCTTTTCTTCAGACTCCTCTTCGTCATTTTTATTCTCGGCACATTCGCCATCTTCGTCCTTCTCTGTCTTTTCTGAACTGTCTGCATTCTCTTCATTTGCAACCTTCACTTCTTCTTCACTGTGGTGCTCCTCAGCTTGTTCTTCATTTGCATTTCCTTCAGTGTTTGAGTCACTTTTAGTCCACTCGGAAATGTTTTCCTTGTTTTCTATCCTTTCTTCTGTCTTACTCTCATTATTCTTTTCTTCTTCTGTCTCGTCTTTATCCTCCCTTTCACTTTCCTCTCTATTTTCACCTCCTGTCTTCTCATCTGGATTTGTTTGCTTTTCTTCCTCATTATATTTCTCCTCTACCTCATCATCTATTTCCACAGATGATTTTTCTGTCTGCTCTTCTCCCAGATCACCCACGTGTTGTTGATTGTCATCTTTACTATCCTCTACTGCTGACACTTCCTCCTCTTTAATATCATCTTTGCTGCCCACATCTTTTGCACTTGAATCTGCTGTTTTATCAACTGTGGTGTCTCCGCTCTCCTCCGACGAGCTGCGTGAATTCTCCGCTGTGACTTCCGTCTCTGATGCTGTGTCTCTGTCCTTGCTGTCTCCCGCCTGCCTCTTCTCTGTGTCGGTTACAGGTGCCTCTTCATAGTTGAGGGCCTCTCGCTCCTCTGAGGGCTCTGCTTTCATCTCCATTGTCTCGCTCACTGTCATCGCCTCCGCATTATCAGGCGCTGCTGTCTCATCAGTCTTTTTATTCGGCTCTGACACTGATGACTCATCCGCCTCGCCGCTTTTTGTTCCTTGCCCCGTCTCGTCAGCCTCCTCTGCAGTTTTGTCCTCCTTTTCTTCGTCTTTCTCTTCAGCATCACCATCGGTGGATTTAGCTGCAGCATCTTCTTGAGGTTCTGAAGTCTTGTCGTCCTCAATAATTTCCTCTTCAGATACAGGATGCAGAGCTGTATCTTCTGTGTGCTCTGGTTTATCATTCTCTGCTGAGTTTTTGTCTTCTTCTGATGAAGCCTTTTCATCTGCCTCCTCTACTTTGACCGTCTCATCTTTAGCGCTATCACTGCTCTCCTGGGGCTCTTGTTCGGTTTCGTTCTCCCGATCTTTTGGTTCAGACGTCTCGTCGTGATCCTTCACCTCTTCAGTTTCACCAACAACACCTTCCTCACATTTTGTCTCCTCTTCAATGGTCGGTTGCTGTTCTGTAAATGTCACAGATCGTACTGCAACTGCATCTGCAAATACAATGAGGAGAATGTTTAGGAAAGTCAATTTTTTACTGCAATAGTTGTCTTCATTCATTTGAATGATGATGAAAGTCTAGTACCCTTGCTGTCTATTTCAGGGCCTTTATCTGTGGACTCCTCCTCCTCGGTGCTGGTGTCGCTCAGTTCGGGCTCTGAGCTGCACTGGGACTCCTTCAGTATGGCTTCTGCCAGCTTCTCCTGCACAGATTTGGCTTGGGAGAGAAAGAGAGAGAGTGATAGAAGTTCATTTTACAGTGAGTCACTCACGGTGACAAACAAAGCAGTATTTGAACAATGCAATGGGAGAACTGAGCCAATGAAGAAACATACAGCCATGACCAAAAGAATGTCTTTAATCTTTTCAGGTGCAAACAGAACATGCAAAATGATAATTAACATGCACAGAAAGAAAAAAACAACAACAACACATAAACAAGCATGATTCAGTATACAACCAAAATGGAAACACAATGCACAATGTCTTAAAAATACCTATTTTATGTAATTTTAGGATGTGAATTTGAAACTCACGATGATAAAAGATTAAAACAAAGAAAGAAAATCACTAAACTTTGGCACTTAAATGTTTTGTGCAAACCGATCCCTGGAGCTAGTTTGGTTGAGGAAACCTACAATTCTGGTTTCATCTGGTTAGATATTACAGACATTAAGAAAAAGAAGAACGCTGCTAGTAATGCAAATTACTAATTTCACATCATTATTCCTTTAACCAAAACTACAAAGTGCAACTTTAAGAGAAATAAATTGAGTAAAAAGCAAATGTAAGTTACAACGGGCTTTCTTAAAGTGATAAAAATACAATTAAAATATTGTTACAGGTGAGAATTTCATATTAACATCCAAACATCTCGAAACTCATTTTGAATAAAAAATAACTTTGACATTAAAAAGGGCATCAGACAGAAAATCATCACACACAAACAAATGAAAAATAAGCAACAAAAAAAAGAAATAACACACAAGTAATTTTTCCACTATCAACTTTTATAACGTCACAATCTTACTTAATATCACAAACTGACAACACAGAACTGTGATGGTTATTTAGTTGTTGTCAGGTCTGAATTGCTGTATTTACATATACACACAACATCAACTGGACGACAGCCCTTGGTGTGATAATAGTGGAAAAACCTCCATAAAAGATGGACTGATCCATTTGTCACTCAGGTGAAAGCTCCAGAGTTGTATTTGTTGGTCTGTACTCACCTCTCTCCTGTTCCTCCTCCTGTTGGTTCTCCTCTACTGTTTTCTCCTCCTCTTTGTCTCCAGAGGTGTCGCCACTCTGTTTATTCTCGTTCCCCGAGGGGACGCCGGTGTCGTAGACTTCTCTCTCTGTGCTGTCCCTCGCACTGTCCTGTATGTCTGAGTCTTTAGGCACAGCAGGCTCGGCCTCAGTGGCAGCGGCTTCTTCTGGATTTGGTTCATCTTTTTTGTCATCTGGTGGAACAACAGTCTCCTCCTGATCGACCTCTTTAGGTTTCTCGTCCTCTCTGGAGTCTTTAGTGGATTCAGCATCACTCTCCTCCCGGTCGCTGCCTGAGGAGCTGGAGCCTGAATGAGACTTAATGTCCTCTGTGCAAGAAAGATGGAGAATTTAAAATTTTTTAACAGCAAAAAAAAAATCCCCTCGAGGTAATGACATGCATGTTTAACCCTTTCAAAAGATGGTTTACTGCTTTACAGATGACGCATTGTACTTTATGTATATAAAGTTCAACATCCCATTGAAATCTAGGCTGCAGAATGATTCTGTTTTGCTGTAAAAGCGGTTGTCAAATGAATAAATAGTGTGTGATTGAATGGCACTTTACTCTCAGTAATTTTACTCGTGTGTTCAAACAAGTGATTTAACCCACCATCCCTCTCGTCGTCTTCGCTCTCAGAGGCGTCGTTCTCTTTAATCTGCCTTTCAGTTTCACCAGATGGAGACGAGGATTTCTTTTCCTTTGCCTTGACGTCTTCTGGAGGGCCCTCATCGTCTACTTCAAAGTCTTCCTCATAATCTGAGGAGGAAGACATGCAGAAAATTCATTGCGGTACACCGTAGACTAGAGTAAAGATCTGCAAAGTCACAAGTATTTATTTCTTATTGGCGCATTCATGCTTTTTTGTATACCATCTCTGACTTTGTCCTCCTCAGCTGCTGTTTCTTCTGTGACTTGAGTCTCGGTGTGCTGTGGTTGGCTGCTTTCACACTCTGAATGGGATGCAGCCTCGTCTCCGTTCCTCTCTGTCTCCATCTCAGGAGCATCCTTATGGCTGGTGACTGACTCCTCTCTGCCTTCATATTCTTTCACCCTCTTTGGTGGAGGACTGGGCTTCTTGTCCAATCCCATTGCTATAATGCACCTGAAGAAAATACCATGATATACTGTCAGAACTTAGTTTAGAAGAATAGTTCAACATTTGGACAGATTATCGTCAAGTTGATATTGAGAGGTTGTTATCAAAAAGATAAAAAACGGTGAGTAGACGAGGAGCAACATTATCATTTGGAGTCGTGTTTCTTGCCCGCTGACTTTCTTATACTCACTCTCATGTTAGCAACATCTAACTCTTGGCAAGAAGAACATTATTGGACTCACAATGGACAGTTTTTTGAGAAAGGCTGTCTTTTTTTATTCTGCACATTCTTCTTCTATGACAAAAAAACGACACTACCCACAGTGCCACTTGACCGCTGACAGTTCACTCAGAGATTTTGAGCTGCAAAAACTTCAAGCAGAGATGAGCAGCAGACTACAGACATCTGGTAAACTCACTTCTTTCACTTTCTTTTTTTCATTTTCAATCGTTTCAATCCACAAAAGGCTTTAAAGCAACTTCTTTTTACATAAGCAGTAGTACCGCCCAATACATATAAACAGACTTTGATGTGTAAACTCAGTGGATATACCCTTTTAAAGACGCAGCAGGAGACCTTACTTGTAACAGGGAGAGGCTCCCTCTACGCTGCAGAAACCAAAGTGCCCGTGCCTGCCACCGAGTCGGGGACCCTTCCTGTGTTTGAACTCGCAGCAGGAGCTCAGCCGCTCCACCTGCAGCCCGTTCAGGAAGAAAGTCAAGCTGAAGGGGAAACCTCGGTGTCGCCTTGAGGTGAACTGGAAAGTCTCTGAGGGAAAGATTGAGGATGTAGACAAGCGGTAGGAACACTTTCAAGATCAACGTCATCAAATCTGTGACCTTGGTGTTGCAGAACAACTCTAAACCATCCATAACCTGTGAGGCATCTTTACATATCCCTACAAACTATATTAAAAATACAGAAATAACTAAATTTAAAGTTCATTTATAGACAGGTTGACACCTTAATAGAGTTAGTTTGTTTGCTCAAAGGCTGTTGTGCACACTTACATTATCCAAATGGCTTTGCTCCTGAGATTTGCTCTTATTCGTTTACACAAAACACACAAATCTTACAGACACAATCACAGACCCTCACACTGACCTCCCTCGCGGAGCTTTCCCTTGAACACACACAGGTTCTCTCCTCCACAGTGTTGCTGAAACACTTTGACCTCGTCCCTCATTTCGGTCAGGTCGTGGGAGAGATGCACCGTTTTACCGAAGTACATCATGTTCACACACACTCCGCTCTGGTGCACAGAGCTCCTCAGCATGGGGGGGTCCTGGATGGGGAAGAAAACAGCAGGTTGGGGTCAGTATGATATCGATTTAATCCAGTTTTAGGGAATCATTTTAATTTCCTAATCCCAAATTTGATGTGACTGATTTTCACAGGTAGGTGTTATCTAGGTCAGGATGAAATTTACATAATGCAATTTATTCTAATATCACCGACTTGTGTTTTCTTTTTCACGTTATCTGACCTCTGATATCTTTCTCCTGATTAATTACAATATGACCAGTTAAATGGACTAAAATAGATACATTTAGGTCAGTTATAGATTCATAATGTTGTCAAATTGATTTGATTTTAGTTTATTTATTTTCCTAATTGTCCAGCCATAGGGTTACCACTGAGTTAAATAAATGTTTAACAACAATCTGTGACTACAGGTTAAGACATACAGAGTAATCAAAGACACTCACAAAGACATGCAATATAACCTCTTCCTGCTAGGTCTTGCAGAAATCAATGAATCTCCTAGAATTTGTAATTGTTCTGTATTTAATTTAATCAAGCTAAAGGGGCTGCAGCTTGTAAGTTTGGTGTGGAATGTGTTGTTGCCAGGGAAAACATAAAGAGAGATCAGGACCTCATTGAGGTCCGCTCCGCTGGAGGCCGTGGTAGGACGCAGTCTGCGGCCTCTGAGCGTGCCGCTCGGAGTGACCTTTGCTCCCCTCTCTTTCCTCTTCGTGGATGGAGGCACTGGGGTGACAAAGTTGTTGATGACTGGGAGGCAGTAGGGCGAGATGCCACGGGAGACCTCTGTTGTGGTCAAACGTCTCCGGGACACCTTGTCCATCTTTGAGAGAGGTTAACAAACAAACTGTGAAAAGACTATACGGTGCGTTTGTTGTTGTTGCAGCAATGTAATGTTGTTTTCTTGTATTAACAAAAATAATTTTTATGCTTGCATGCATCTGTACAATATAATGTATGATAGCGTTTAGCATTTTTACACTCCCTTTACAACTGCAAAGTTTCTGCATAGTTTTCAAACAATATTACCAAAGGAAGATAATATTGATCTCACTCTAGATCAAAACCGAAAATGTTCATGCTTCTGTCTGTAAAGAAAAACTGTCCCAAGAATGAATGAATGAATGATTCTCATGTGTCCCGGTCTCACGGTGCTGTTGAACGGCCGGTCGTTGTCATTGGAGGACTCGAGGACTCTGTGAGGGAAGCTGCGTCTGAGCAAAGCTGTGGTGCTGTTACTGTGGATCGGCTTCAGGCGCACCGGCCTCTGCATCTTCCCCGGAGCGGTGTTGGGTCGAGACGAGCCCGGCTGCAGCACCAGTAACACACACACACAGTCAGCGCTCTGCTCATTACAAACACTGTGTATGCATCGCTAAGGAAACCAATAGAGTACAGTGTAAAATTAGTTGTAAAGCTGTGAATTCAATATATGTGTCTGAATTGTGGTGCAAATGCAAATCAATAATGTGCCTTGACATTTCCCCCCCAACAGATCATTGCTGATGTATTTCAAACAAGTCTCTACCTGCTGAAGTGTGAGATGTTTGCAGACATAAGACAAGAGATTTCACCGGGTAAACACAGAAATCCAGGGCAGGATTATCGGCTCTATTTTCTCTCTGTGACTTTTTCTGTTGCACAGATAACACACCACTTAAAACACTTGTGTCTGCACACACAGCAAACAGCAGCTGAGTGTCAGTGTTAGTGTAAACATGCAAACTATCAGCATGCACAGAAAATCATTATCATTGCAGACATTCCTCACCCGAAAGAACGTTTTTGTACGTATTAGACTAACAAGATGAAACGTGTTAATTAATTACGTTTAAAAGGTGCTGGAGGGCTGATTTAGTTTGCTTTGGCAAGCGCTGGGCTAGCTGTGCTAACAGCTGTCACGATTTAACCAAATTTGGAGGGATGGGAAAAATCTTATTAATGAGGACAGTGAAACCTCATATTTTTTTATCTTGAAAGACATCTGATTGACCTATCTATATTAAACTGATTGGCCTAATAAAGGTCTTTAACTAAAGGTCGTTTTAAGCTCACAGACCATGTCGTGGCATTCAAAAAACCTTCTTTGCATGACAGAGATGCTGTAATTAAAGGTCGCATTTCTAAAGCACCTGATGAACAACTTGGATCAGATTATTAAATGTGATGTTACAGCAATATGACGACTCTCTCTATTCACGGACTCAGAGACGTCAACAGGTTGTTTGAAAGTCAGAACCCCCGCAAAGCAGCCGGCCCAGACTGAAGCACTATGCTGATCCTCTGTCTCCGGTGTTTACAGACACCTTCAACAACTCACTGGAGACATGTCATGTACCAGCCGAATGAAGTCTTTTGAACGCCTTGTCCTGTCCCACCTCAAAACCCTCACCGACCCGCTCCTGGACCCCCTGCAGTTCGCCTACAGAGCTGTAGACGATGCAGTCAACATGACCCTTCACTTCATCATCCAGCATCTGGACTCCCCAGGAACCTACGCCAGGATCCTGTTTGTGGACTTCAGCCCTGCCTTCAATACCATCATCCCATCTCGGCTGGAGGACAAGCTCTCCCAGCTGCACCTCCCCAACTCCACCTACAAGTGGATCACAGACTTCCTGTCTGACAGGAAGCAGCATGTAAACATGTAAACATGTCTCAGTCTCTCGGACCATCAGCACCGGTTCCCCCCGAGGCTGCGTTCTTTCCCCTCTGCTCTTCTCCCTGTACACCAACAGCTGCACCTCCAGTCACCAGTCCGTCAAGCTCCTGAAGTTCAAGGATGACACCACCCTCATTGCACTCTCTGGTGGGGATGAGTCCGCCTACAGGTGGGAGACTGACCATCTGGTGACCTGGTGCGGACTGAACAACTTGGAGCTCAACGCTCTAAAGATGCTGTGGAGTCCTTCCGCTTCCTGGGCTCCACCATAACCCAGGACCTCAAGTGGGAGCTTAACATCAGCTCCATCACCAAGAAGGCTCAGCAGAGGATGTACTTCCTGAGGCAGCTGAAGAAGTTCAACAAGCCAAAGACAATGATGGTGCACTGCCGTCATTGAGTCCATCCTCTGCGCCTCCATTACCGTCTGGTACGCTGCAGCCACTGCCAAGGACAAGGGCAGATTGCAACGTATCATTCGTTCTGCCGAGAGAGTGATTTGCTGCAATCTGCCGTCCTTCCGCGACTTGTTGGCTTCCAGGACTCTGAGGCGGGCAACAACGATTGTAGCCGAACTCCTCTCACCCACCCTGGACACAAACTCTTCGAGTCCCTTCCCTCTGACAGGAGGCTGCAGTCCATCAGGACCAAGACCTCACGCCACAAATACTCCCATCTGCAGTTGGGTTCACCAATAAAGCCCGGGACCGCCACTGACTCAGACACTTACATCCCCAGGACAACTTCTTACAGTTACACAACCTTTCTCTATTAATATACACTTGACGCTTTAATAACACACTTGTTTTAACATACTCTTATTTGTTTGTTTACCATATTTTCTTGTACAATTTCATATTTAAAAATGTTGAATAATGTCTTATACTATTGCACGTTTATTGTCATGCACCATTCACCCAGCCACATTCCTTGTATGTGTAACGTACTTGACAATAAACAGTTTCTGATTCTGATATCCACTCAATCTGCTGGTGCACCAAGACGGATGTTTTGACTCACGGACTCGGAGGATTCGGAGTGTTCCCCCTCTGGCCCAGAGTGTTGTTTTCGGATGCACCTGGCACCCGTGGGTGGGCGTGGAGACAGGATGCGGATGATGTCTTCTTCATACCTTTTAGAGCGCTCCACCTTCCAAACAAGACCATTCATTTATGTTGTTGCCATTTTTTCATATATCAAAATAATGTATTAGAAATGGCACTGTAAATAATGGTAATGCTAATAATGTCTTTTTTTGTTTCATATTATGCAAGAGTCATTAGTTTACAAAATAGGGCAACAAAGCAGTGTTTAAATGCAAATGATGTACTTTGATCTTATGCACTCTTTCCCTCCTTGCAAACTCCTCCAGTTTCCTTTTGATCTCTATTTGATGGACACGCTGTATGAGAGGGGCACAGAACAAATGTGCATAATTTGTTATTCAAGGGGAAGCACAGATAAGCTGACAGTGTTTTGACATTTCTGTCTCTGGTATACAGCATGTTCCTCCCACCTCCATCTCCAGCACCTTGTGGAAAATGGCCTGGGCCAGGCATTCTCGAACGTGTCTCTGATGGGCTCTCTGGACCAGCTTGTGTCTGTACTCCTTGTCTGGAACAATACGCCCACTCCTGGTGATCTGAGAACAACAAGAGTCTCACCAGGGTTCAAGATATGGGTCTTTGAAGACAGTGACCTTTCAAACTGAAGTCACCAACAGCTGATTGATCAGGAATACAAAATCATTAAAGGTCCTGACATTTATTTTTTTTTTTTCTAACAGCTTCTTGCTGTGAGTAATGAAGTCCTACACAGACACAATTTCACAAAAATGCATTTAAGGCGGTTGGACCAAGTTTTGCCATTGTTTTGATCTCACATCTTTGTACCAAAGTCTCAACTCCTAAACTTTGAGTTTCGAGTCCTAAAAGAAGTCTGAATTCGTTGTTCAAACTTGATCAAATGTAACACCATTTGTGCCCTCATCTCTCCTTTTTAACTTGCATGTTTTGCATACTGGAATACATTTTTTGTTGACCTCCGCATAGTTTTTGTATGCAGATAAAATTATCTTTAGTATCATTTTTCCCAACTGGCGCTGAGTAACGTAAACGTTAGTTCTTCTTGGTTCTGTGCTTCAACTTAATTGGATGCTGTCGGATCGGTTCAAACAAAGTGGTTCTGGGGGAATTAAGTGTTGACTTCCAGGAAGTGAATTCATTTGTGGCACACCGTTTAAATAAGATGCATTTTCATCTTTGGGCTTGGGGGGAAGTTATAAAGTATTTTTAAGACAAAATGCTGAAGTCTAAGTGACGTCATGAATCATTAGTGTCAGTCTTTTTTGATTTAGTCAAGTCTAGTCTAAACTTTCCTTCTGACTCGAGTCCAAGTCATGTGACTGGAGTCCAAACCTCTGACTTCAGGATTTAGCGACATTTGAATCATAAACTGACAACAGTTGGTGGTTGGTTATCTCAGAAGTAGGAAAGACCACTTCTGTGGCCTGTTCTCACTGTATCGTCATCATCATCAGAGCCATGATTTTATGAATACAAAAATAAGCTCATACAACCATATTCGTCAAGCACCAACCATTTTTTCCCCATCCATTTAACTGTTAATTCTGTACATTTTGTCAACCTGTCAACGTACCAGCCCTGCTCTCTGCAGGTGTCTCCTGATCGGAGTGTTGCTGAAGTATCCAGCCAGATGTCTGTCTGTGAGACTGTTGTAGGCAGAAAGAAGTCTACAGAAACAAAAAAAGAGACGCTTAATTAATCCCGGCCAAAGAAAGTTAATTAAAAGAAGCTTAACTTAATGGCACCCAGACTTTAAATGTTGTCTTCCGCTAGCGTAACTCGAGAGTTCTTGATTACAGTTAAAAGAAAAACAGAATCTCAATAAAATGGCTTCGTGATGCACGACACCATGTTTGTGTGTCGGTTGTTGTTTCTTGTCCTCATTAATGAGACATCAGCCCCTCAGCAGCCCGGCTAGCCTGAAAGTGTTTTTCCAACACAGATTTGATTTCCTCCAGCATTTGTGTATACGAGACAAGAGGATCTCACAACTATAGGGTTTGTTACCGGTGTCTGATTACAGGAGGATGGCACACTTGACCCTCTCTACCTCCTCTTTGTGCACCTGGCTCGTTTGTCTCTGGTGCCCTTCAGCTTTGGCTGCACATTTCTCTTTGAACCACAACATGGTGGTTGAACTATCAAGTGCCATTTTCTTTTACAAGACTTTCTCTGGCCCATTGATGCCTTGAGGAGACACATGGCACAACAATATATATTGTGCTATTGTGCCACAGCATTGATCTATTAGTTGGCCTATTGGTACACTAGCCTAACAGTAGCATTGGCACATGTTGACTCAACTCACTCTGTAGTGACTATAATGTGTTTTATACGTCTTATTCTATTTTAGCTTGTTTTAATGACCTATTCTTGACTTGGCTCTTTAAAGGCTGTTTTTAAATCGTATTTGAATGTCCTTTTAGAACGTGTTTCTTTTGCACTTTGTCTCGAGGCTTTTGATGTTTTATGTAAAGCACTTTGAATTGCATTGATGATGAAATGTGCTTACCGTGCCTAATATGTTCATTCTAGGGTTTCAAAAAACACAACTGGATAAAAATCTTAAAACAGTAAAACAAGTCCGACTTGGTTGCAAGTCAAAGAAAAAAATAGTCTGGTATTAAAAAATTGTACACAAGTAGTGTTTTATTATTAGTATAAAACAAAGATAGAAGTAAAAGTACTAATGGTGCATGAGAATGACCCCCAACAATGTGTTATATATTACTTTAATGTTGCAGTTCAAGGTGAGGGGGAGTTAATTTTAACTACTTCATAAAGTTGAATCCATATCAATGCTTCATACTTTATGAAATGTTTTGAATGTAAAATCTTACTCTGTGTAATGCCACTGTAGCTGTCAGAAATATGTGTTAGCATCTGTTTGTAGTAACACTTCGTTGAAATACTAAACATTAAGTAGTTCAAATGTTTACTCAAGTACTTGAGTACATGTACTTATCTACATCCCACTGGTGGTAACAGAGTCAAATTATCCTTTTACATAATAAAGGATCCTAATACATCTTTTCCATCACTCTCCATCTTTGTTTCTGCTGTTTTCAGGTTGTGTTCAATGTCACGTGTTGTTCACCTTGAAGCACTTTTATTTGTCACAAAACTGTTGTTTAAAACATTACAAATCATTTCTTAGTTTCTGGTTGCCGTATTATAGGGCCCAGTCTAAAAGTAGCATTAGCCTTGAAGTAGTAAATGATGCCTCAGTGGTGACTATGCAGCTAGACTTTGTACTCTCATACTGATTCTTCTTGTTTAATGATGCACGTTGTTTAACACTATCATTAGCATAATTGAAGAGTCAATTAAGAGTCGTTTATTTTGCCTCTGTAGTGACTGTGTTGCTCAACATTTTACTCCAAAGACATACTTGTATCAATGAAACTGTTTTCAAGTAATTACAAAAATGAGAACGTCAAAATTAAGTAAAAAAAAGAAAGAAAGTAGACAATATCACCTCACAAACTCCTGAATATTAAACGTTAAATTGAACCTACCCTGGGTTGAGGTGACTCATGGTTTTCAGCTCGAACTCTCTGTGAAAAAACAAACAGTATCTGAGGTGAGAATAGACGCGGGATTCTCCAGAAGACACCTGTGCCGATGTAAAGTCAACAGGACCCCGGCAGAGATGGTATAAAGTGTGTCGGTGAGTTTTCAGCTGAGAGGGACTGAAGCTGCACTTCTCTCAGAGCGGAACTGATGACACTCACCGGTTGCCATGGAAGAGCACGTGATGATGCTGCCAATGGGGCTGGTTTCCATTTACAGAGAGTCCCACTAAACCAGGACAATACCAGAGTACACTCACTCACACACTCTGAAGCATGTGTGTGTTTAGACAGATTAATACTAAGGGTGCTTTATTTGTCATTTATCTGCTTCTTCTAAATTCCTGGGTGTAGTAAAAATGCTGTAAAGCTTTAATCAGTGGTGGAAGAAGTACTCAGATCCTTTACTTTTGTAAAAATACCATTAAAGGGCAAAATACTTACAACTAAAAGTCCTACATTCAAAATCCTACTAAAGCAAAGTACATAAGTATTGTCAGCCAAATGTAGTCAAAGTATCAAAGTCAAAGTTCTTGATCTGCAGAAAAGTGGTCCCTGTCTGATATATTACATGTCATTATTGTTAATACTGAGGCAGCATCTTACTGTTATAGTTGAGGTGGAGCTAGCTACTGTAGATTAAGTTTAGTAACCTGCTGTGGGACTAATAAAGGATTATTCATCTCATGTTTTTTTTGTGTGTAAAATCTTAATCTGTAAGGTAACTAGTTACTGCAGCTGTCAGATAGATTTCACTCTGAAATAAGGTGGAGTAGAAGTGTAATGTATCGCAGCAAATGGAAATACTCGTACAATAACCTAAATTGTATTTAGTTATTTTCCACCATTTAATAAAAAATTTTAAAAAAGTTTAAAGTAGGCAGAATAGTGACTACTATAGAGTTCTGTAATGGTAAGTGACTTGACCAGTGGACAAAAATTGTACGTAAATTGAGTACTCTTAAGAGATGTGTGTGTATATATATATATATATATATATATATATATATACACATACACACACAGTATATGTTTATACTGTATATTCACAGTTTACCAGGGTGAGCTTGAACTGCTAGTCCTCTGGGGCCCTCTTGTGGACATGTGGAGAACTATTTTTAACAGGACAGACCACTCGTTACACATTTTCTATTAGTGTATGGACAACACGTCTATCATGAAACTCATTAGAACTACAATAACTCTATACAATAGATCATCATGAATGTTTAATCGGATCACATGTTTTGTTTTTATATATTTCTGAAACGTGTGGTGGCTTTGCTTCCTGCTGTCCATCTTCCAGTATGATTTTACTTCTCACTGCCTTGATATATTATGTTGGAAGTATCACACAATACTTCAAACATAGTCTTTACATTTTATGGCACATATATATATACATATACATATATATATACATATATATACATACATACATACATACACATACATATATATATACATACATACATACATACATACACATACATACACACACATATATATATATATATTATGAAATTTACAGGACAGTCATCGGTGAGAGTGGGCAGATTAACCTTCGGGGTCTTTCTCAGGAACACTTGAGCTTGATGCTGGAGGTTGAACTCAGGGTCTCTGCTGAACAGGTTGTCCTGACACAAAAGAAATATCTCAGTTGGTTCAAAAGTGTCAGTATGCAAACGTTTTATATTTTGACGTTTTGGGAAGAATCAACATTAATCATGCATAAGCTGGATCACAATAACACAAACAATATAACCAGCACTTAGCTTCTCTTACAAATCCATAGAGCTTAAAGCTAATGTGCCTCAAGCTAATTAATCCCAGGAACAGAGGCTGTCTGCTACATGTCAATTGATCATTTATGCATTTACTTATGCAAAGTATTTATTTGGTGCTACATGGCTGTGTGTAGTACACAAGTATGCTTTGAATTACTTGTTTTTATGTGCATGGCTCAGGGTAAATCCAAGTTCTGATATCCAGAGGCGTTACAGCCTTTTTCAAGTCATGACCATTTGCATCCGAGACACAAGTGTGAGGTTCTTCTTACAAAAGACTACGAACAAGAAACACAACAGGAGTTCGACACTTTGACGTGTATGTGCCGACGTGAAGGGACGCACACAGCACATGAATAGATATGTTTCTGTGGTAGTGCCATAAAGACAAAAGCTTTGTGATATAGTTGAACTTTTAGGTACTTTTACTGATTCTGATTGGGACACATTAAGCAACACAATGTGTAAACTGCAGAGCAGATAATAAAGAATATCTTGAAAATACAAACAAATAAGGAACAGATACAGTAAAGTAAAAGCTAATTTAATTAAACTAGCCTAATTGAAGATATCATAATTAACATTAATACTTTTCCCCAATCTCTCTATTCTCTGTTGACTGGCTGAGCTTTGATGGTGGACTCAGACGAAGGTTGATGCTCATTTCCACTCACCAGCATCGTCGCGTCGCTCTCTTTTTCCTCTAGTTTCACACCAGGACGCCGACACACACACACATACACCTGTGGATGTTTGAGACAACCAGGCTGCCCAAAGAGATGCAGAGAGTGGGAGGAGAGGGCAGAGGAAAATAAGTGTTATTTTACTGTTAAATTAGTGATAAAATATCTGTTGTTATAAAGAGTGTAGTTTGTGTAGCCACAAAGGTTTTAGTTATAAGACATTTCACAGCATTTGTGTGGAGAAAATCCCAGCTTGTTTAAGACATGAGCTAAAGAACTATCAGAGTGGGTGTTATTATTCTGATGAAATAGAACAAGAGCACGAAATACACACAATTGGAATAAGTTAATGCAGTTTCCTTATAAGAAAAATGGAGGAATATCCATACGACTACTACTAACTACTACTGTTGGTAGTATTCTGAAGTATAACAAAGAGTAGCTGACAGCAGGTTGATGTAACAGTGTCCACTGCCAAACCACGATACACACGAGGTACGGTGTGAATGATAAATGTGTGTTGTGAAATGTAATAAGACTCTAAAAAAAACGTGTTTTTTTTAGACCACAGTAATATAAGATCTTATCAAAGTAGAGCTAAAACAGCTATTGCATGTCAGAGTATTTCATCAATCATCAGAGCTGCGTAGAACATGCTTTGCAGAGATGAATCACTTCTAACCTTCACGCGTACAGATGTGCACTACGGCAGGTCTCTCTCCCACCAAGCAGTGGACATGAACGATGACAAACAGCCAGGTAGATAAACATTCACTACCTGTCAAGCAGGTGGAATTGAGATGGATATGCCGCAATAAACACAGCAATCAATGCAGACATTTCCACCAGCACTAAATGCCTAATACACAAACCTAAGTCTTAAAATAACAATTAGCGTAGAAATGGAAGAGGGGTGATTATGAATTCCATTCAGGAAAGGGGTCTTAGCTGTAAGCTGGGAGGTGGCAGGGAGATGTCGGGGAGTCATGCGGCTCTGAGATGGGGGGGCAGCAGTTTTTGCAATCAGCGTTAAATAGAGCAGTTTTGTGCCTGTGTGATTGTCAAGTGGGCCATTACTCGTTGATAAGAGCACTTTTTCCTTATGTGGCTCTGATTGGGCTGAGCATGCTGCTCCCTCTCGCATGCTGTCCCAATGCAATCAGGCCCCTCTTTCACCGCACTGCCATTTTCACTGCTGTGATTTCCACCCAATCCCCCCATCGGCCCCCAGCCAATGCAGCTCGCCCCCCCCCTACTCCCTCCCTCCCTCCAGCACCCCAACCTCCCCCTACAGATTCGATGAGTACCCATTTACAGCAAGGAGAAAAGGTCATGCCAAACTCGTTGTGTCAATTGTAAACCACCCCAATTCGGACTGATTTCAATGAAATAAATGAGTAGGTGCAGCCCGGGAGAAAGCAAAGGTCCATGTGGAAGTAGCAAATTAGGAGATTTTGTCAGAGGCTCACCGGGTCCAAACGCTCAACGCTCCTCTCCCACATTCCTTGTTCCGTCTGTATTTTAGCAACCTGTGTGTCTTTTTAAAATGTGACTTTTACAAACAATTCCTCACTTTAAATATAGAAACATGCTCAACGGTGACAACTGTGCATCCGGTAAGAATGAAAATTTGCTGATGCAATGAACCTTAAAAGTGATCCCTTGTTATAATGGTGAAATAGATATATTTCACCATTATAACTGTGTGAGAGTGTTTCTGATTATCAAAGGAACTGTGCTGTGCTCTACTTCTTAGTTTGATAATTGTCGTCTTTCATGTTCTTTGTTTCAGCACTTATGGTACTTTGTTAAGTGTTTTGTTGATATTAGCTTTACTTCCTCTTTGTTTGGGGCCTCAGAGGCTCCACTGCTGATAAGAACAATTCTTTTCTTTTAAGTATGTATAATTTCTTGTTATTTTTTCATTTTTAAAACACTAAATTATCTACGTGATTACTTTTCCATTTGCCACAAACAGGACTTGCACGTTTTATGAAGGTGACAAAATACAGAAATTTCCATATTACACCAAATAAGGAACTTTTTACACCTTTTATATTTTTGCCAAAGAGTCCTTCAGAGACTAATGTTTGGGTTCAATTAGACCCCAGAGAGGTCTAACCGGTCTTTTTCTGTGTAGCATGATTCTGATGTCAGTTCAAAATAATATATGCAATATATTTATATGTTTATATGCAATGCTCATAAAATCAGGGAAAGCCATGAACTGATTAACAATTATGAACTATGTTTTGGATGTGTTAAAGGATTTCCGGGACCCCAAAATTAACATTAGGGTTAATACCAGTGCTTAAAAAGTTATTTTTATTACAATATCATTCTTAAATCCCCTATCTCTCTATGGAAGACTTCTAATAATGGAAAAACTACTAATATAATGTGCTGTTCAAGCAGCTTTTGGTACATGTGCCACAATGTAACAGTAAACCCATTTTACCATCACAATCACTGACCTACATTCTACGTCTCATACCTATTTATGGAGTATTTATAGATCATACTGTTAATACTGCAGCAGCATCAAGCAGCAGAGCAACTTAGTAAGAATTGTTGACAGATGAGACATTGTTTTTGTCTGGTCCGTATCGTGCAAAACATTTAAGAAGTGAGCCATGCAACTGTTACACACAGAGGTACATCTTTCCCAACATCTGTGGTCATATCAGGCATTCTACAGATGGTGCATTGGAGCGATAAAGACTTTAATGTCTGAGGGAGGATTAGTCTTTTCATGATAAGGTAGGTCTTACAGGTAGGTATTATTTGTTTTGATATCATTATACTTTGCAGTGAGGTCTTGCTGGCATTACATATCTCCTCTAACCTTTGACCTCTCCAAAAAAAAAGAGTTTCACAGGATTTTTTTTATACTTTGAAGTGTTCAAAGAGCTCTGCAGCAATACGGATTGAGGGAGGAGTGGCTGTCTCACAGGCTGCTTCGGTGAACTGTCTGCTCTGCCATGTTTGAGATCTGTTATCTGATAAAGAGCATTCATCTCCACCAGGTGGAACAGGACACATCTCGATGGAGGCACGCTAACTCCTTTATGTCCCGAGACAGTTGCGATACGGACGCAGACTCATGCCGGTGCAGGTCGGACTGTTATCCCCCCAGAGGACAGAAAATAGCCTTTTGCTGTTTGTGTGTGTGGCGGTTGGGGTGGAAGGGTGTGTGTGCGTGTGTTTTGTGATGATGGGTGGGATTGCGTGAGCGACTGGGTTGAATGAGTCTGTGAAACGATAAAAAGAGTAAGCAACTGTGTGTTTTCTTTCAAGTAACCCAGAGAGTTTGTTTATGAGACTCCTGTACTCCTCATCAAACATTGCATCGGTTACACGCTCCTGCAGATTCCTGCTCTACAACATCAGGAGGATTCGCCCCTTGCTCACTGATGAGACGGCGCAGGTGCTAATCCAGGCTCTAGTCATCTCCCGCCTGGACTACTGCAACTCACTACTTGCCGGAGCCCCGGCATCGGCCATCAGACCTCTGGAGCTTGTCCAGAAAGCTGCAGCTCGCCTGGTGTTCAATCGCCCCAAGTTCTCCCACACAACTTGCCTTCTCCGTTCTCTACACTGGCTACCTGTAAGAGCCCGCATCCAGTTTAAGACTCTGGTGCTAGCCTACAGGGCAGTGAAAGGAACAGCTCCTTCCTGTCTCCAGGCCATGGTCAAGCCCTACACCCCGGCCCGACCACTTCGCTCTGCGACCTCGGGGCGACTGGTTGCCCCGTCGCTCAGAGGTCCCTGCGGCCGATCAACCCGGTCGCGGCTGTTTTCTGTCCTGGCCCCACAATGGTGGAATGAACTCCCCACTGACGTCAGGACGGCAGAGTCGCTGCCCATCTTTCGGCGCAGGCTGAAACTCACCTCTTCAAGAAGGCCTACCCTTCCGCTTAGCACTTACTTAGCATCTATTGTATTCATACTAGCTTATTGCACTTATTGTTTTTTATATTAGTTTGTGGCACTTATTGCATTTGTTTGTTTCTGCACTGTACGTTGGCTCTGGTTTATGCTCTTAGATGCTTGTTTGAGGAAAGGACATGCACTTATTACTTCTGGTGACTAGTTGTTCTCTCGAAAACCGATGTTGAATACACTTATTGTAAGTCGCTTTGGATAAAAGCGTCTGCTAAATGACTGTAATGTAATGTAATGTAATGTCTCACCCTGGTAAAGTATCTGCATGACCCCTTATAGAGAATATGGGCTGAAAGCCTCCCCCGTCACCGCTTGGATGGATATTAACAGTTAACAAGATTTGCATACAGACTTAAAGCAGGTGGGCGGCCTGATTTTCTGTTTTGGGATGATGCAAAATCACCCAGAGGGCCAAAGAGCAGCGGTGGAAAGAACTTGAGTACATGTACTCAAGTTCACTTAAACCTTGTATTTAGCTGACATTGACTTTACTTCCTTGTTATTTGGGTTCCTGCAGACCACTGCTGTATTTGTAGATTTATAATATTGCAAAATCAAACATTATTTTTCCTTTACTGATTTTTTTCTTCTTTTTTTTCATACCTTTAAACCCAAAATGTAGAAAATATTCTAAGTGGGTTACCCCTTCCTTTCACCATATGGGCTTGGGCGTATAATAGGAAAGCAGAAATGAAACATAATTATGCAACATAAATTATGCAGATTTCTTTTCAGATTTTATTATGTTTGATTCGTCTTCCTGTGAATTATGGAATCATTTTATCTCTTTAGGGATCCTTAAGTTACTCATATAGAGGTTGCAAGAACACATCGCTTCGCTCTAAGGGGTCTAGGACCAATTAGATAGGAACTATACTGCCCTAACAGGTTCATCTGGCCATGCATGTTCTCAAACTGTAAATGAAATACATAAAGTTCTAGTAGCTCGAGGTTCTTTAAGTTCTAAGTGAAGTCAGTGAGAGCAAACAGGCAGACTTACATTTGATGTCTGCCTTCAATAAACAGATGTTGCTCAAATATATTATAATGTGTTCATGGGCTAATTATATACAGTCTATGCTAATCAGCAGTAGTGGAAGAAGTATTCTGATATATAGGCCTACTTCCTGACAAGTAATCGCGATGCAGTAACATTTTTACTTAAGTAAAAGTACAGAAGTGTTATCAGCAAAATCCATTAAAAAATAAAAGTAGTATCCTGGATGGTTAGTGTTATGTTGTAACTTGTGGTGAAACTCATTTTAAGTATTATTGTGTAGTTAAGTCTATAAGAATTCATCATATTCTATTAGATAACCATGTTTTAAATGTAAAAATAGGAAACGCTAAGTGACTAAAGCTGTCAGATAAATAAACTAGTGCAGTAAAAAGTACAACTTTGCCCTAAGAAATGTATACAGTAGTAAATAAGTATAATTAAAATACTCATGTTAGGCTACAATATCTCAAAATTATAATTATGTACGGAACTTGAGTAAATGTTCTTTCACCACTGGTTATTATTATTAACTTCATTATGCTGCCTGTGTGTCATTTCAGGGGTTTTACCTGAAGGCAACCTGAAGTTCCAATCAGAAATGGATCAGTAAACATCAATAACAATAGAACAGTGACAAGACTGCATTATATTTTTCCCCTCAAATCTCTCACCAAACCACACAATAAGTGTGTTTCCCAAAAGGGAGGCGCGGCCACAGAGGACAGGACAAATAGGAATTATGATCCGCCCTCTGGAAGCAGCTCGGCGCCGACACACAGGAATCCTGGAGGAGAAAGAAAGAATAACAGCACTTTTACTTTGAAACTGGGGAAGCCTCACACTCCTGGACGCAGACATGCGCTGGAAAAGTGAAGTCAAAGTAGAGTGTTGCGTCGTTAACGAGACAGAAAACGGATCTCTGTTGTCCAACGATGAGGTGAGTCACGCAAATGAAAGACGGACGTATATTTCTCATCAGCAGGTCGAGGTGTGAGTCAGTGCGTAATACCGAGACGGAGATTAAATAAACACTAATCGAAATTGCTTTGCCAATTAAATTAAAGTGGGCTTCCAGTAAAGTCAGTGAAGCCGGCCCTCCACAGGCTGACAGCTCAGTATTTTCACAATTTTAAGAAATGTCGAAGAAAATTACCCCTCCCCTGAATTCTGCAATTAAAAACTCAAGTAGTTAATGAGAACTCTTCACCTTTTGGTTGCCCCGGGTAGACGTTTGTGGCGAACTTAACCTTTTTAATTGCAGTTATTAAAAAAATCAAACCTCTTTTCCCACCCCGAGACCTCGCGCTGTTTTGTTTCTGATTGACACGTGAAATTGGTGCGTCGGGGGGGTTGTTTAACCACAGCACGCGCGGATGCAAGCGAGCAGTTGCTGGCTCACAAATGCAGATCTCAAGAACATAATGCACATAAGGACAAGTATTAGCTCAAGTGTTGTCTGTTTATGTACGTAATGGCGATCCTTCTCTTTTAAATGTCATTGTGGTAATCGCCCGCGTTGTCATGGTGAAAAGTGAAAGGCATGATATTTATGGGATGGCGCGGGGGGCATTTAAGGCAGCTGCGACCGTCTGACAGACCTGCATCCTCCTCCCAACGTGTAGCTTCTCGTCATGTGCGAAGATTGCAAAGGAGACGAAGAGCTGCTAGACAAATGCACTGAGGACAGGAGAGACATTATGGTAGGAACTAAAAACCTATTCTCCAAAACAGGTCCAGGGTGAACGGGAGGCCATTGTTGTTTTTATTGACGGATATAGTTTTAAATATTCGTGACTGTGGACAACAAAATTATTTGATTTCTTATAGTACACTACAAATTAGCATCTATCAGCTAACTTTCTTTTAGCTAATTAGGCAATGAGTGAGACACATTCCCTTTAATTTTGTTTTTTAAATTGACATTATTTTAGTGATAATAGCTGCTAATATTATTCTGTAAACTAACTTTATCTTGTCACGTTTTAAGATAATATATTGACACATATTTAATCAAATTTAGTTGAGGTAGAAAAACTAGAATTTGAGTATTTTTTTTTTTACAGTTTTTCATGAAGTTGGTGAGCTGAGTTCAAACACGTTATGTATGCTGTAGGTTACTGTACCGTAGTTACGGGGTGGATGCGCTCCTGCGCGTCATTTTCTAACCGCACGTCTGATCCCCTCAGGGCGCGCCGGTGGAAGTTTTGGATGAGGACGCGTCGTTGCTGCAGACGATGGCATCTGCACCTCTGCTAGGCACAGCTGTGTGTGCGAGCTGCAACGGGGAAATTGTGGATAAATATTTATTAAAGGTAAACACTTTTTCTTTTTTTTTTTCTCGAGGATTGCTTTTTTTAAAATTCTGGATTATGAATTTTTTTTCTCGGATGCGTTTGGATGTCTTTGGGTTTTAAGGCACGCGCAGGTATCCATGAGTGTATACGGACCTTACACCGTGATTGACTTCTGCCGATTTCAATTGATCCCGTCTCTGCTTTAGGTTAACGACTTGTGCTGGCATGTGCGCTGTCTCTCCTGCAGCGTGTGCCAGACCTCACTTGGCAGCCACACGAGCTGCTACATCAAAGAGAAAGAGGTGTTCTGTAAACTGGATTACTTTAGGTATGTGCATCGATTATTCTCAGTGCAGCTTAAACGACAACCAAAGCTATCGGAACGAAATAATTAAAATAAGTGCTTAATAATTAAGATATTATAATACATAGAGGAATATTAACTGCAATGATAATAGTCGCAAGACTTGACATTTCACTTTGATTTGAGCTGGATATTTAACTTTTTAAAATTTTGTTTTATCTTTAATATTCTGTGACTTACGAGGAGACAATACTATTGCTCTTTGACTAATTACATTTAACAGGGACTACTTTATGTCAAAATTTAACAACGGCAGCTACATGTCAGAGTATTCATTCAGTGGTCCAGGTTCAATTCTGGACTTATTCTGCTGGATAAAAAAAGTTCAAAATAAAGATGCCTTTAAACGCCCTCGAGGCAGCTACTGCATGCGGGTGTCTAATTTGCATGACCTTCACCTGCAGAAGATACGGCACCTGGTGCGCGTGCTGCGGCCGGAACATCCACTCCACAGACTGGGTCCGCCGGGCGAAGGGCAACGTGTACCACCTGGCCTGCTTCGCCTGCTTCTCCTGTAAGAGGCAGCTGTCCACCGGGGAGGAGTTCGCTCTGGTGGAGGAGAAGGTGCTCTGCAGGGTCCACTACGACTGCATGCTGGACAACCTCAAGCGGGCCGTGGAGAAGGGTGAGCCGGCCGGCCCGGTGTCCGCTGAAAGACTCGGTCCTTGCTCTTGTTTTTACTTTAAAGTCATTTACAATTGGAGGCCGGAAGAGTAACTTAAATTACTTAGAGTATGTTCCTCCAGATCTGTTCTATTTTGACATAAAAAGACACAATATTTCCCCTTATCTTTAAAAGAAAAAAAATAATAAATGTATCATAAAACTCAGATTTTTAAACTCATGAAATTTGATATGAAATGTATTTAAAAGGCTTAATTTGAACATACAGCATGTAGGCCCTATATCATGTCCTGAGAATCTATTTTAAATTAAAGTGAACTTGTCCCAGACATTTTTAATGGCTTGGTTTATTTTTATGCAACAGGTTTAAAATATACTGTATTTCAAAGGAATACAGATTTCTTAATTCTGTCCTGAATATTTCAAGATGTTTTAATCCGTTTGAATATCTGCTCTTGTTGCAGGAAACAATGTTAACATGGAGGGGGCTGTGCCCACTGAGCAGGAGATTAACCAGCCAAAACCCTCCAAGAGAGCACGGACCAGCTTCACCGCCGACCAGCTGCAGGTTAACCTCCATCCTCACATACTTCAGACAGATAAATAATACATAATAGAATTATTCTGTCATTTATGCCTGAAATAACTAAGCCTATAAAAACACTAGCCCCATGCTGTTGTGTTGTTTTATTATAATTACAAATGTGTGTAATTCAGATTTAATTTGCAGGGTAAAACTAAAATAAGGTGTCAATTTTAATAAACTTTTATAAATGTAGCAGCATTCACTTTAATAAAACAGACGTGATGCAGTCAGAATGCCACAAACAAGGATGCTGGGTTTTAAATCCTTATTTTACAGTTTTTATTCACTTAATAATTATAATGATGTTGTATTGTTCAGGGCGCTATAATTTAATGTCCAAAATTATTCTTTTCTGTTCAGTGTTTTTTTATTCACATTTATCTGTATAAATACATTTATTATTTATTAACAGCAGTGCTTCCGATACAGATAAACCAAATTGGTAAAATCACACAGCAGTTAAACATGCTTTTCCTCACATGACAACAAAGTAAACCTGTGTGATATTTAAATCATTTTCTTTTACCTCTGAACATGCAGGTGATGCAGGGCCAGTTTGCTCAGGACAACAACCCCGATGCCCAAACTCTGCAGAAGCTGGCGGAGCAGACGGGCCTCAGTCGAAGAGTCATACAGGTCAGTGGAGGAAATGGATGATGTAATATACAGTATGATACTAGAGAGGAAAGAGTTAAAAATAACCACTATATGCTGGTTAAACATGTACAAAACCAAAAGAAAAACAGAAATTATAGCATTAAATATACTTGTTTATGCTTTCAAATAATACCCGTTTGTGTAAAACCTTATTTACATGTTTTGTGTGTGAACAGCCAGCTTTTCACATCATCCATGCTATGATGTATGTTATTGGTTTATGATTATTGATGTGTTATTGTGCATTTTAATGTAGCTGCTTGAGGTGAAGCTATATAGTTTTAAATATTGTAAATTGTGCTGGACAGTCTGATCCACAACAGTGCATTGTGTTTCATAAGCTGATCATGTTTATAAAATATAAAATATAAATCAACAAAGTAACTGTTATGGAGTACAAAGTACTTCATTTTCCTCTGGAATGTAGTGGGGTACAAGTACAATGCAGCAATACAATTGAAATACTCAAGTGCAGTAATACCTGAAAATTAAGTACAGTAATTGAGCAAATGTACACAAAGTATATAATCATGAGAACCAGAACACATTTTTACATAGAAAAACACTTGAAACAAAGAGGAGGTCATAGGTCAACCACAAAATGGGAGTGTTTCAACATAACTAATAAAGTCTTTGCAAAGTTATTTAGCGGTTCACAGAGCTGTGGTTCCATGAATGGTTGTGAGACAGTTTCCAACGCTAACAATGGTTTGATAGTGACGACGGTTTTACTCACCGGGGGCAGAAGTGACTCCTCGACTGTCGCAGCATGAGGTTTCTTGGCGGAGAGATAAAAGCTTCTACGGATTACAGGCGACCCTAACCCACAATAATCATCTCTGTGTTTCGTGACAATGCTTCTGTCACGGCTTGTTATTACCTAACGAATCCCTCCTCGTCCCCTCCAGGTCTGGTTCCAAAACTGCAGAGCGCGCCACAAGAAGCACGTGAGCCCCAACCACAACTCCAGCACCCCCATGAGCTCACTGCAGTCCAGCCGGCTCTCCCAGCCCACCCTGACCCCCGAGGAGCTGCAGTACACGGCGTACGGAGGCCCGGAGGGATCAATGCTCTCTGCACTACACTCCTTCATAGACAGTGAGCACCAGCCTTTTAATGATCTTTACTATATGACAAATTCCTATTTTAACATTTGAAATATTATATTGTTATGGCTTATTTCAATGGAACAATATCTTAAGTATTGCGACTAACAAGAGGCACTAATAAAGGTTTTCTCATTATCTTCTTTTAGTGATTGAACCTTTGGCTCTGAAGAGAGTGGCAGATAGTCAAAGAAACAGATAAGCGTTAACCTCAAATCATCAGCAAATAGCTTATTTAAGTTACATTTTAAAAGTCTATTCTAAGGTTGAGAGCATTGGGGATGTTTCTAGAATATCACATTATAGCTGGGGTCGGCAACAGGAGGTGCCAGTTTAACATTTTTATTGTTAATCAGTGTGACATATCAAGATTTAGGTTAACATTAAGTTTAATTAAGACACTACATTAAAATTTAAATCTCCAAAGGATCTGTCGTTTCATTCCATCTATATAGGCAACATGCAGAGCAACATTATTTACAAACATAATCAGGTCATTGTAATTCATCCACCACATCTGAGTTGAAATCATCAACTCTACGAACTTTCCACCAATCTTCAGGAATAAACAACGAGTAGTAGCCAATCAGAGGCAGAGTAGGGCGGGTCTTGGTGGAATGCAGGTGGTGGAAACAACAATCAATCAAATCATTCCAATGGTGGCTGGTTGCCTAAGGTTGCCTTTACTCCTAAGTTATAGGATGAACATCGAAAAAGATGTCCGTCCGGACAATGAATGTCTAAATTAAAATATACATATACATATATATATATAATTTTTGGAAACTGTAATGACTGCAGTGCTCTCTGTGCTTGCCCACAGTACACTCCCCTCCATCCATGTTTCAACCGCTGCTGCCGGCCCACGCCATGACCTCCCTGCCTGTGTCTCGCGCCTGAGCTGCTCTCTCACTCACACACACACACACACACACACACACACACACACACACAC